GGGGGGACACATGACTCAATGAAGAAGAAGGAGAGTTGGGTTTGTACCCCGCCCTTCACTCAGAGTCTCAGAGTGGCTTACAATTGCCTTTCCCTTCCCCTCCCCACAACAGACACCCTATGAGGCAGGCGGGGCTGAGAGAACTCTTCCGAGGACTGCCCTTGAGAGAACAGCTCTGAGAGAACCGTGACTGACCCAAGGTCACCCAGCTGGCTGCATGTGGAGGAGTGGGGAATCAAACCCGGCTCTCGTGATTAGAGTCCTGCTGTCAGCAATCCCACCACTTAGGGTGGCACGTCTGGCATGAACCAGAATCTGGGTCTTTTCTGTCATGGCTCCTATTCTGTGGAAGGGGCCCTCTTTCACAGGGGTCCCCTCATTGGAGACCTTCAGGAGGCGCCGCGAGGCCTTCCTGTTTGTCAGCGCATTCAATGCGATTAGGGTTACCAGCTCTGGGTTGGGAAATATCTGGAGATTTGGGGAGTGGAGCCTGAAGGCGGGGTTTGGGGAGGGGAGGGGGCCTCAGCAGGGTACAGTGCCACAGAGTCCACCCTCTTAAGCAGCCATTTTCTCCAGGAGGACTGATCTCTGTCGGCTGAAGATCAGTTGTAATACCAGGAGAACTCCAGGCCCCACCTGGAGGTTGGCAGCCCTATTTAAGGGGGAAGAGGGAGAGATTTCGGGCTTACTATATTATTTTCGATCTGTTTTTGAACCATGATGAAAGGCAGGATATAAATGTTTTAATAAACAAATAAATAGTTAACATAAGAAGATCCCTGCTGGATCAGACCAAGGGTCCATCTAGTCCAGCATCCTGTCTCACACAGTGGCCAACCAGTTCCTCTGGAGGGCCAACAACAGAGCCTAGAGGCTGAGGCCTTCCCCTCATAAGAACACCAGAACAGCCCTGCTGGATCAGACCAGTGAGGGTCCACCTAGTCCAGCATCCTGTTCCACACAGTGGCCTCAGCCAGTTCCTCTGGAGGGCCAACAACAGGGCAGAGAGGCCAAGGACTCCTGGCTCTGGGATTCATAGGCTGACTGCCTCCGAATGTGGAGGTTCCCCTCAGTCACCGTGGCTCGTAGCCACTGATTGACCTCTCCTCCATGAATCTGTCTAATCCCCATTTAAAGCTTTTTATTCCCGTGGCCATCACTGCCTCCTCTGGCAGCAAATTCCACGTTTTAATCACTGTCTGCGTGAAGTAATATTTCCATTTGTCCGTCCCGAACAGCCAAAAAAGGCAAACAAAGCGAGCTCTATCTCAGTTTCTTCAGGTGTATCATGAGTCCGTCTGATCTGTTGCCATACCTTGTTGTTTTGAGTTCCGGAGGCTAATTATATCTCACGGGTGCCTCGGGGGAGCCTCGTGCTCTGAGAGCTGCAGGCTATAAGGATCTGAAAATAATCAAAACGCCTGTCGCTTCTACACTGCAGGCCAATCACACGGAAGAGCACGTGGGCCAGCACTACAGCATCCCCCTCCAGGAGCTGAAGGTGATATTCCCGCATGGACTCCCGCCACGCTTCCAGTTACAGGTGCTCTTTGTCTTTCTTGCGGGCCTGAAGATTGGGAGGGGGGGTACACGGGGCAGCTGTCAGACTGTCAGGTTATGGTCTGAGTTGGATTCCTGGCCGCCTTGCAGATTTCCCATCTTTCTTTGTTTGTTTGTATTTTTGTGTGTGTGCGCGTGTGCCTGGAAGTCATAGTCGCCTTCTGGCGACCCCTAGCAGTGTTCCCTCTAAGCTGAGTCAGCGTGAGCTAGCTCACAGTGTTTTAGCCTCCAGCTCACACATTTTTGTCCTAGCTCAGGAAGGAGGGCTCCAGAGCCTGCTTCGGCGGGAAGGGCGGGATGCAAATAGAATCGATTAAATAAATAAGTAATTTACGCAGCAGCCAAACCGCTCGCTCACCACTTTAATCCCAGTAGCTCACAAAGTAGAATTTTTGCTCACGGGACACCACAGCTTGCAGGGAGCATTGCCCCCAGTAAGGCTCGGATGTTTCGGAGAGGTGGCTTATTATTGCCTGCCTCTGCGTCCCAGCCCTGGTATTCCTTCAAGGTCTCCCTCCCAAGTACCTGCCAGGGTCGGCCCCGCTTAGCTTCCGAGATCTGACGAGATCGGGCTTGCCTGGGCTATATCCAGGTCAGGGCGGATTTCCCGTCTTGTGGTAGCAGCAGGCGCCCCAAAGGCAAAAGCGCCACAGAGCTGGCTTTGTAAGGCGCTCCTTGCCGGAGTGTGTGTTGGGCCAGGTTCATGCATGAAGGGGAATGGGGCGGTAGGAGAGACGAGGCCACTTCTGACTGCTCCTTTGCCATGAGCATTCCGTGAAATCAGCGCAGCCAGGAGAAAGGCCCTGTGGGTCATGCTCAAGCCACTTTCCGATTTACGGCAGTCCTGTGAATCAAAGTTTTATGGACATCGTGGGTCACCAAAAAGACAAGTAAGTCGGCTGGAGATCATTATCAAGCCAGAACTCTCCCTAGAAGCTAAAATGACCAAACTGCGGCTGTCATACTTTGGTCGCTTTGTGAGAAGACAAGAGTCACTAGGAAAAGTTGAAGGCAGCAGGAAAAGAGGAAGACCTGACGGGAGACGGATTGACTCAGGGAAGCCACGACCCTCCGTTTGCAAGACCTGAGCAAGGCTGTTGAGGATAGGACATTTTGGGAGATATCAATTCACAGGGTCGCCATAAGTTGGAAGAAGAAGAAGAAGAGATTGGATTTCTACCCCGCCCTTCACTACCCAAGGGAGTCTCAGAGCGGCTTACAAACTCCTTTCTCTTCCCCTCCCCACAACAGACACCCTGTGAGGTAGGTGGGGCTGAGAGAGCTCTTTCAAGGACTGCCCTTGAGAGAAGAAAAGAAGAAGAAGAGATTGGATTTCTACCCCGCCCTTCACTACCCAAGGGAGTCTCAGAGCAGCTTACAAACTCCTTTCCCCTCCCCACAACAGGCACCCTGTGAGGTAAAAGAAGAAGAAGAGATTAGATTTCTACCCCGTCCTTCACTACCCAAGGGAGTCTCAGAGCGACTTACAAACTCCTTTCCCTTCCCCTCCCCACAACAGACACCCTGTGAGGCAGGTGGGGCTGAGAGAGCTCGGACAGAAACTGCTCTTTTTCGAGAACAGCTGTGCCAGAACTACGGCTTGCCCAAGGTCATCCAGCCAGGTGCAAGTGGAGGAGTGCGGAATCAAACCTGGAATCAAACCCAGTTCTCTCAGATTAGAGTCCGCGCTCCTAACCACCACACCAAACTGGCTCTCATTAAGCAACTTAATGGTACTACACACACACACACATTATGAATGAATGTCCTCCAAAACGCCCTCTCATTAACAGCCTCGCTCAAGGCTTGCCAACGGAAGGCCATGGCTTCCCTGATTCAGTCAGTCCAGAAAGGGTCTGCCGTGTCTTTTTCCTGGCTGAGCTGATCTCAATCGGCAATGAGTTTTTAACATGGAAGAGCATCCCACAGTGTTTTCCACCCCCTGCAGACTGGTACAACGCGGTCCTTTCCGCCACCTCATCTTTCTTGCATGTGTGAATCAGGCCTTTGGAGCGGTGCGGATTGGAGAGGACCCCACTGCAGAAGTTAGCAGTGGGGGTGGGGGGCGTAGCTCACGTTTTGCCCGCGCAATGTCCTGGGTTTGACCCAGCTTGGGCATCCCCAGCTAGAAAGGACCGCATTTAGCAAACCTTGGAGAGTTACAGTAGCCTTATAACCTTGGAGAGTTACAGTAGATAGTAAGTGGCAAAGGAAGTCTGTTGTGGGGAGGGGAAGGGAAACTCCCCCGAAGGAGTGCTCAGAAGTAGAAACCGACACCTGCTTGTCGGCCATGATGCAGATCTGTTTTTGGGTCCCCTGTGGGGAGAAAGAGGGAGTAGAGATGAAGTTAATAAATAAATTTGGGTTCTGGCACACATTGTGTGTTTCCTTTGGATTATTTAAGCACCTCCCACCCAGTCAGTCCCCGCTCTGCTAAGAGCCAGTTTATTCCCTTCCCGGGGTTTCCGCTTCCGCATCCCGTCCCTGAAGCATGTTTCGTCTCAGCTGCAGCACCTGTTCTTGGGAACAGTCTCCCAGCAGAGGCCCCAAGGGACTCCCAGTGTAGCACATTACCAGAGACACTACACAGCTGTCTTGTTTTAAGAAAGATTTTTAGGGCAATAGGATAAAAGGGTATGATTAAAATGTGGAATTCACTGCCAGATGGCCACCACTCCTTAAAAACCTTGAAAGAAGGGGAGCCCACCACCTCCCGAGGAAGCCTGTTCTACCGAGGAGCCGCTCTGACTCTTCTCTGGACACGTGCCCTTCTCAAACTGTAGTGCCCAAAACGGAACACAGTGCTCCAAGAAAAAAAGGAGATAAATGAAGTGCATGCTTGGTATCTCCAGTGAAAGGTACAGAATCATAGAGTTGGAAGGGACCTCCAGGGTCATCTAGTCCACCCCCCTGCACAATGCAGGAAATGTACAAATACCTCCCCCTCCACACCCGCAGTGACTGCTGTTCCACACCCAGAAGATGACAAAAAACCCTCCAAGATTGCTTCCTGACCCCAAAGTGTCAATCGGCATTTCCCTGGGCGTGTAAAAAAGGGCCACAAGGACTAAGTATACTTAGTACCTACTGAGAAAGACTGTTCTCTGCCTGAGAGACCCAGAACAGCTACTGCTGACAACATTGGGTTAGAAGAACTAGCGGTCTGACCCGGGGTGAGGTAGTCTCTGACATATGTATATGTGAAATTTGGCTTGCTGTACTGTTTCTCTTGTCAAAGCTTTATTCTCTCCATAAATATATATATTTTTTAATTCTGGTAGGTGAAAACCTTCAACGAAGCCTGTATCATGGTGCGGAAGCCGGGTATCGAACTCCTCAGCTATTTAAAAAACACCAACTTTGCTCACCCCGCCATCCGATACGTCATCTGTATCCTCTTCAGCAGAGCCGCGTGCGTGGCCCATGGTTCGCCTTGCGTTCACGGCAGTCTGAGCGCCGGCTTTGCGTGGGAGAAACCATTCACTTTCTAGCCCTCGCGGTGGAGGAAAATGTTTGCAAATGGACAGTCTTGCTAAATGCACTTAAATCGGAAGGGAGCCCAGGCTGGGGCTTCTGTTCGGGTTTTTTAAAAGATACTTCTCATTTTATATTTTATATAAGTAAAAAGGTAAAGGTTTCCCTTGCTTGAAAGCTAGTCGAATCCGACTCTAGGGGGCGGTGCTCATCTCCATTTCCAAGCCGAAGAGCCGGCGCTGTCCGAAGACATTTCCATAGTCATGTGGCCGGTGTGACTAAACGCTGAAGCACAAGGAACGCTGTTACCTTCCTACCGAAGCGGTACCTATTTATCTACTTGCAATTTCTTGCTTTCGAGCTGCTAGGTTTGCAGGAGCTGGGGCCAGAGACGGGAGCTCACTCCGTCACGCGGCACTCGGGTCCCGAACTGCCGAACTACCGACCTTCCAGTCTGCAGTTCAGCGTCTTAACCTCTGAGCCATCGTGGCCACACTAAATTTTATATAGGGCACAGGAAAAAAGAAAAGGAGTGAGGGGGAAAGAAAAATAAACGTAAGGCACTTTTTTACAAATATTCAAGACAATATAAACGTAAATGAATTAATAAATCTAGGTAAATCATTATAACATTACCGATAATGCTGTTTCCCTAAAATATATTATCCACAGCCAGTTTGGTGTAGTGGTTAAGTGGTTAAGAACCCTAACTCTGAGGAGGTTCTTTTGCATAGGGATTGGCTGTTGAAATTTTAATCTTATTCGTAGTGCTATTGTAAGATGCAGAGCTCTCTTCATCAGAGACCCTCCATCAGAGCCAGTTTAGTGTAGTGGTTAAGTGCGCGGACTCTAATCTGGGAGAACCGGGTTTGATTCCCCACTCCTCCACTTGCACCTGGCTGGATGACCTTGGGCAAGCCGTAGCTCTGCTAAGAGCTGTTCTTGAAAAAGAACAGTTTCTGTCAGAGCTCTCTCAGCCCCGCCTACCTCACGGGGTGTCTGTTGTGAGGAGGGGAAGGGAAAGAAGTTTGTAAGCCGCTCTGAGACACCTTTGGGTAGTGAAGGGCGGGATATAAATCCAATCTCTTCTTCTGTTACCTCACAGCGTGTCTGTTGTGGGGAGGGGAAGGGAAAGGAGTTTGTAAGCCACTCTGAGACTCCTTTGGGTAGTGAAGGGCAGGGTATAAAACCAATCTCCTCCTCTTCTTCTTCTTCTCCAATCTCTTCTTTTTCTTCTTTTACCTCACAGGGTGTCTGTTGTGGGGAGGGGAAGGGAAAGGAGTTTGTAAGCCTCTCTGAGACTCCTTTGGGTAGTGAAGGGCAGGGGATAAATCCAGTCTCTTCTTCTTCTTCACTATTCTCAATCTGGAAAAAAGACTATGAAAAAAAATGCTGTAAGCAAACATTTTATATCAATATAAAATTGCCAGGAAACCATGTAGAATGATTTATAAAAACAAGGAAGTAACAAATGTTTAAACATTCCAAATAACTGATAAAAATCTTGTTACGAGGACTTGGAATTGGCTGGGCTTTTGTCGATGGAAGAGTAGGGAGAAACAGGACCAGGCAGCAATGTTCCCTCCAAGCTGTGGAGTCTTGTGAACAAAAATTCTACTTTGTGAGCTTCTGGCATTAAAGTGGTGAGTGAGTGATTTGGCTACTGCATAAATCAGTTAGCTCTGGAGCCCTCCTTCCTGAACTAAGGCAAAAATGTGTGAGCCGGAGGCTAACAAACCGTGGGCTTGCTCACACTGACTCAGCTTAGAAGGAACACTGCTCCCAGCCAATTCCTTGGCAGTCATCCTGAAACTGGTCCTTCAGATACCTTGTTCACAAGCCGTGCAGAACTTTAAATGTCAAAACCAACACATTGAATCAGGCTCGGGAGCAGATCAATAATAATAATAATAATAATAATAATAATAATAATAATAATAATCTTTCAATTTATTGATCGCTCAATCCTTGCAGAACTGATGGCTCTGAGCGATTTACAGTTACTCCTGAATTCACACGGGACTAACAATGATAGGGGTAAGGGAGGACAACATTTTTTTTTTTAATTCACACACATTTTCGCAGTCGACGGGGAGTTTGGTCAGCTGTAAGCTTCAGACATGTTCCGGCAGCATTCTCACTCGGCGTTGCTTGATGTCGTCAGCATTTTTCTCAGTCGCAGCACAGCACTGCCACTGCTACCATCTGGCCGGAATGGCCCATTACAGGCTACTTTTTTGATGCTGCGTAGATCTCGCTTGGCTTTTTGACCTTCCGCTCGTCGGCTAACACCACCCCCAGCCCGTGTAATTGCTGTAGTATCGAGGTTGATTGGCATTGGGGTCAAGGATGGGGTAGAAAGGGGCGTGTGGGTATAATACACAAGGCTTCCATGGTTTCCTTGACAACCTGTGCCTGGAGATGGCGAAAGGGGCACGGGGAAGACCATGACCCTCTGCCATGCCATCCATCACTGCGCGAAGCAGAACTGGCTGCTCCTGCACATTCCCGACGGTAAGGACACTATGTGACACCTGCTGCTGTCTGGAGGTTCTGGCCAGGAGCCAGAGGTACTGAACACTCGCCATAGCGTAACTGGTCTTTAAAGGGCCGTTTGAGAGTTCAGAGCTCCTTGCATGCCTTCGTAGGAGTTTGTACAACAACCCTGTAAAGTAGGCCAGTATCATTCCCACAGTGCTGACGGCTGGAGGCTTGCCCAGGGCCCCCTTTTGCACTCACGGGAGCAGTCTGATTTGAACCTGGGCTGCCCAGCTCAGCCAGGTCTCTTCCTAACACTGAGAATTTCAGTCTATGCGAGAGACTTCCTGAAAGAATAAGCAGGCTATTTCCATGTAACAAAGCCAGTTTAGTGTAGTGGTTAAGTGCACGGACTCTAATCTGGGAGAACCGGGTTTGATTCCCCACTCCGCCACTCATGGCTGCTGGATGACCTTGGGCAAGCCATAGTTCTGTCAGAGCTGTTCTCTCAAGGACAGTTCTGGAAAGAGCTCTCTCGGCCCCACCTACAGGGTGTCTGTTGTGGGGAGGGGAAGGGAAAGGAGTTTGTAAGCCGCTCTGAGACTCCGAGTGAAGGGCGGGGTATAAATCCAATCTCCTCCTCTTCTTCTTTTTCGGCTTGCTTCACCTCATGTTTTATTCTCTCTAAGAACCAATTTAAGCTTCTCAGAAGTCCCGGTAAATATGTCCCTTCCACGGTACAGTCCTGTTCAGAATGGAGGGAATTAACTGCTTCTCTCAGTGTCCTGCCACATCAGAAATCCAGCATGTTAAGAAAGAGGGGCTGAATGTATGCTCTAGTGTACTAGCGTTCCCGAAGCAAGGCGCTACCAGTGGAACAGGTCATTCAAACGAGCCATTCTTTCTTACTCCTTTGACTTAGTATGGTCTCGGTAGGACTGCGTCCCCTTGAAAGGTCCGGATTGGCCCCCAGCAAGAACAGAAGAGCAGCAGAAGCAAGTTAGGGATTTGTTATATGGGAACCAAGGCCCATGTGAACGTTGATCAGACGAGCTTCTACGTTGCTTTTCTTAAAAGTGGACTCTTGGCTGTATTCTGCGTCCATTGTCACCGGCTGGTGTCCGAGCCGGGTTTCAAATGCCGTATAAGCACACCATCCTTCCAGGGGTGGTTAGGCACAGGGCAACTGGGGCAGCTGAACGAGGGTCCTGGATGAGCGGAGGGGGCAACCATCGAGGTGCCCTAGTTGCTATTGGGTGTTGTAAATAAGAAGCGGGAGACTGGCCAGTTATGAAGGTGCACAGAGAGTTTATATAGTTATAAAGGTGAATATATACAGAGATATTTACAGGCTATTGAACAGCATGTCGTGCCTTAGTCTATTAGAACAGAGTCCCTTCCAGCTTACTAAGCTGATAGCTATTATGCTAAACCCCAGCCAATCTCTAACAAGGTGAGGTAATCACTAACTCTAACAAACCCTGAAAGAGTAACACCTGCTAGAAAACACCTGGTAATTACATGATTACTAGCATGACTACTAGGTCTGACAAACAGATCAAACTGATCTATAGTAACTGCTTGCTACCTCTATCACTCTGACATATATCTCAATAGTTGCTACCAGCTACCACTGCAGGTGACGGCAGCAAGGGGCATCGTTTGGGCAGGAGCCGGCCATCAGCCGTGTGGGGTGGTTAGAGGGGTCCCCCCCCCCACACTGCATTTGCCAGCCGCTGCCTGAGTCTCCGGTTGTAGCTGGCCATCAGCCGTGTGGGGTGGTTAGAGGCCCCCCCCCTCCGAGTGTTCTATTGCATTCACCAGCCGCTGCCTAAGTCTCAAGCTGTGGCCGGTACTCAGCTGTAGGGTGGGGGGGGAGCATTGCCCTGGTTGCCCCCCCCCCCTCTATTCCACCACACCCAGTGATTCCGGGGCCCGTCCGTGACCTCTGCCCGGGTCCCTGGAATCACTGCAACCACCCCTGCTCCCTTCCTGCAGTCCCGCATCGGTTCTTTTTTTCTGTTTCCATTGCAGCTCACCGCTGGGTGAAGAACTGCCGAGAGCTGCTGCCGTCTTCCTACAACAAAGAGCGGTTCGACCAACCACTGGAAGCCTCGACTTGGCTGAAGAATTTCGCAGTCACCAATGAGCACTTCTTGAAAGAGGTCAGCAGCTGCTACTGCTCAGGCTGGGGGGGGGAGTGTTGTAGAAGAAGAAGAGTTGGTTTTGTACCCCGCCCTTCGCTACACGAAGGAGCCTTGGAGCGGCTTAGAATCCCTTTCCTTCCTCTCCCCACAACAGACACCCTTTGTTTGAGAGCCAGTTTGGTGTAGTGGTTAAGTGCGCGGACTCTAATCTGGGAGAACCGGGTTTGATTCCCCACTCCTCCACTTGCACCTGCTGGATGTCCTTGGGCAAGCCATAGTTCTGGCAGAGCTGTTCTTGAAAAAAGAGCAGTTTCTGTCAGAGCTCTCTCAGCCCCACCTACCTCACAGGGTGTCTGTTGTGGGGAGGGGAAGGGAAAGGAGTTTGTAAGCCGCTCTGAGACACCTTTGGGTAGTGAAGGGCGGGGTATAAATCCAATCTCTTCTTCTTCTTCTTCTTCTTCTTTGAGGTAAGTGGGGCGGAGAGAGAGCTCTGAGAGCCGTGACTGACCCAAAGTCACCCAGCTGGCTGCATATGGAGGAGTGGGGGAATCAAACCCAGTTCTCGTTATTAGTTGCCTTGCCGCTCCTAACCACTACACCACGCTGGCTCTCCGGTAGGGTTCCGGCTTCCCAACTACTTTTAATTCTGTTTTTCACTCCCTCCTACCTGCACGGATCTCTGAATGGCTGTCTCGTTTCAGATCTAAAAAGAGACAGCTAAGGGGGAGCATGATAGAGGTTTATAAAATTATGCACGGGGTGGAGAGAGTCGACAAAGAGATTTTTTTTTCTCCCGCTCCCGGAATACTAGAACTCCGGGGCATCTGATGAAGCTGATGGGCAGTAGATTCAGGACAGACAGAAGGGAATACTTCTTTACCCAGTGAGTGATTCAAAGGTGGAATTCACTGCCAGAGGATGTAGTGATTTCCACAGGCATAGACAGCCATAAAAGAGAATTAGATAGATTCATGGAAGAGAGATCTATCAGTGGCTACTAGCCATGGTTATTAAAGGGAACCTCCGCATTTAGAGGCAGTGAGCCTCTGAATCCCGGTGCTGAGAGGCAACATCAGGGGAAGGCCTCGGCCTCTATGTCTGTTGGACCTCCAGAGGAACTGGTTGAGGCCAGTGTGTGAGACAGGATGCTGGACTAGATGGACCCTCACTGGTCTCATCCAGCAGGGCTCTTCTGGTGTCCTTATGAGGGGAAGGCCTCAGCCTCTATGCCCTGTTGTTGGCCCTCCAGAGGAACTGGTTGAGGCCACTGTGTGAGACATGATGCTGGACTAGATGGACCCTCACTGGTCTGATCCAGCAGGGCTCTTCTGATGTTCTTGTGTTCTTATCCCCACAAGCACCACCTTGCCATAGGTTCAGGTTGGGAGAGAGTTATAGGCCCAAGGTCACTGGTGAACTTTGTGGGGGCTTGGCCATCTCTGGGCACACCAGCTGACTGATGGCGCCAGTATTTCAGCTGACCGCCTATTGTTTGATATTCCCTGAAGCCAGGAATGCTTGATGTGCATCATTTGTAATCAAGAGAAGGAGCCAGAGCTGCTTGCCCCTGGACCTTGCAGTGATCACGGACAATCCCAGGTGCAGGGCAAAGCTCTTCCTACTTGCAGTCCTACAGGCATCTCCAAGCAGGGACACAAGCAGTCATCTGTGGCAAAGCTCATTGCCCAAGACTGGCCACTACTCTGTTCTGCTTGCTGTAAGAACCAGGGAATCACCCCCACCCCCATGCAGTCTGGCTGTCTTGACCACCAGTGTTCCCTCCAAGCTGAGTTAGTGTGAGCTAGCTCACAGTTTTTTAGCCTCCGGAGTTGTTATTACAGCCCAGAAGATCATTGGCTGCCTTCTCCCATTCCTGGAGGAATTGTATAGTTCTCGATGCTTGAAAAAAGCAAAGAACATTTTGCAGGACTTGTCACATCCTGAACATTCCCTGTTTGAACTGCTGCCTTCGGGCAGAAGATATAGGACAGTTAAAGCGAGGACAAATAGATTAAAAGATAGTTTTTATTCGAGAGCTATTATTGCCTTAAATGCTGTATGAAATTGGAATTTGGGTGACATTGGTGGTTTTAAGTTGTTATGTGAACCTTAAGGGAGTTATGGGACAGTAGTGAATGGTTGTGTGAGTGTATATGAATATTGTTGTAGATCACCGAAATGATTGCATCTTTAATTTCGTTGTACTATGTACAATGACAATAAAGTATATTATTATTATTATTACATTGTTGTCTTTGCTCAGGAAGGATGGCTCCAGAGCAAACTCATTTATCCAGTAGCCAAATCGCTCACTCACAACTTTAATGCCAGTAGAATTTTTGCGCACAAGACTCCACAGCTTAGAGGGAGCATTGGCCTTGACCAAAATATGCCTGGTCAGTTGACCTTTTAGCCATCTGAAAGCTTGATCCTTTTAAAACTGCGGCTTCTCTGCTCCTAGTGAGAGAGACTGTGCCGTACCGTCTATTCCTCAATTTCCCCATTCGTTACCTCTTCCCCCCAGTCCAGGAGAGTGGTCAGGCTCAGTAATGCTGGGGCCGGACTACCAAAGTTGCTAATGGGAGACCATTAGCAAGTCTCTTGTGGCCAGGGAAGTGTACTGGTGCAGCCCTCCCAGGAGAGAAGGACTGGAGTTCAGCAGGGCAGGTCACGGGCAAGGTTGCAAAGAGTAACCAGGGTCCGGTCCAAAAGTCAGGTATGCCAAGTCCAGTCTAGAGTCAAGGGATCCAGGCAGCAGGTCTAAGTCCAATCTAGTTCAAGGTCAGGGGTTCCAGAAAAGCCGGTTGTTAGGTCCCGTCCAAGGTTTAAGGCTCCTGTGGTCTGGTAACAGCAAGGTCAGTGGTTCAGTAGCAATGTGTACTTGTTGTATCCACAAGACTGCAGCTTCTCCTGGCTGATTTTATAGCCAGGTCTTAACAAGCTACACTCCCAGCCAATGCTCCCTCTAAGCTTTGGAGTCCTGCGAGCAAAAATTCTACTTTGTGAGCTCCTGGCATTAAAGTGGCGAGCGAGCGATTTGGCGACTGCATAAATCAGTTTGCTCTGGAGCCACCCCTTCCTGAGCGAAGACAAAAAGGTGTGAGCCGGAGGCTAAAAATCTGTAAGCTAGCGCACACTGACTCAGCCTAGAGGGAACACCGCTCCCAGCCAGTTCCTTGGCAGTCATCCGTCTCGTCAGTTGACAGCGGCCGACAGACCACAAGTCCCGCACTCCTTCACCTTCCCTGCAACTCTGTGCGCCTCTGACGGCGTCTGTGCTGCAGAGGTGTGGGTGAGCTAGGTGGGCTGGGAGTGGCTTCTGAAGCCTTGTTTCCTGCTTCAGAGCTACAGGGCATGGGCTCGGTTTCAGCTGTTGGCTGTGACTCCTGCTCAGCCGGTAACCTGATCTCTTGCTGCTCTCATCCTGGCTCAGAGCCAGTTGCAGCCGGTTGTTGAATTACTGGCTGAGGGCTGGCCATGGGCAGCACTTTGTCTGTTGAATCTGTGCCTGTCACTGAACACAGGCCCCGGTCACACGGGCAGGAAAATGCGGGGGGGGGGAGCGTGGCTGTTTGCCTCAGAGCAAAATAACGCGCGGCTGCGCGATCAGACATCCCGTCGAGGTCCCGTCGAGGTCCCGTGGTTAGGGGGGAGGTGCCGATCACAGGACAATCCTGCGGCGTGGCAAAGAAGTGGCCTCCCTAGCAAAAGGCTCCACGGGATTAACCCCTTCCAGGGCTGCAGAGGAATGCAAACTGTGTCCTCTGTCCGGTCCCCTCCAGGAGGAGCTTCAGCCAGGCTGCCCCCCCACCACGCCCCCCCTGCACCTCTCCCTCTGCCGCCAGATGCAGAGAGTTCCTCTCGAGCAGGCCGAGCCAGGAGTGGGGGGTACGGAAAAGAGGAGGGGGCTGTGTTGTTTGTTTTTAAATGAAGTGTGCGCATGCGCCATTGGGTGCTTGTGCGCATCCCGTGGAGACTTGGGGAAAAAAACCTTTTAGCGACAGGACATGGGCCGGCGCCAGATGCCACGACCTACCACCGGAAACGCGATCAGGCGCCCGCCCTTGCCCCGCGGTTTCTGGAAACTAGTACCTCGGCCCTTCACTCGGAGTCTCAGAGTGGCTTACAGTCTCCTTTCCCTTCCCCTCCCCACAGCAGACCCCCTGTGAGGTAGGTGGGGCTGAGAGAGCTCTGAGAGAACTGTCCTTGAGAGAACAGCTCTGACAGAACTATGGCTTGCCCAAGGTCATCCAGCAGCTGCAAGTGGAGGAGTGGGGAATCAAACCCGGTTCTCCCAGATTAGAGTCCGTGCACTTAACCACTACATCAAACACTTGGCGGGTCCCAAGAAAGGCGTCAGCGAGTGCCGTGGCACTCACGGGCAGTGTTCCCTCTAAGCTGAGTTCGGGTGAGCTAGCTCACAGTTTTTTAGCCTCCGGCTCACACCTTTTTGTCTTAGCTCAGGGAGGATGGCTCCAGAGCCAACTAATTTATGCAGTAGCCAAATCGCTGGCTCACAACCTTAATGCCAGTAGCCCACAAAGTAGAATTTTTGCTCACAAGACAACACGGCTTCGAGGGAGCATTGCCCACAGGCACCACATTGGGGACCCCTCATGTAGAAATCTGTGTTAAAAAGGTAAATTTGCATGCTTTTGTTTGTACAGGTTGGGTTTTTTTTTTAAGTTTCTGGGGTGAGGTGGGGTAGGGGGTTGGCAGATACAAACGAGGCCGATTCCTCAAGGAAGGAGGGCGTCAGAAGTCTGCCAGGCTTCTTCAAATGCCTTGCGATGCTTCCATAGAGCTTTCTTTAATCCTCGCCTGTTTGTAGATCAAGACGCAGCAGAAGTACACGTGGAGTCCGCGGGAGAGCACCGAGGAGGGCAGCCCCCTGATAAGCGTCGTTGAGCAGGTAAGGGACTGGTGACACCCCTCTGGGCTTGCCGAGAGCCTGCAGACCTAAACTGGGGACCGGGGAGCAGAAGCCGTGTGCTCCTGAGGCCGTTCCGCCAGCGTGGATCCTGCAGAAGGCAAACCAGTTCCTCCCTCCTGCGGTCGGCAGGCGGGTCTGGCACTCGTTGGTCCTTGGGTGGCATCCAGTCCCGACCCACCTGCCAGTTCCCATCTCTCTCTCCTTTTTTTTAAAAAAATACATCTATATATCTAATAGCGAAGGCGCCCCCTGCATGCGGATATCTAAATCCGCACGTCGGGGGCACCAGGGGCACAAAAATCTAAAAAGTTGAAAAAATATAGGGGGGATATTTAAATCCCCCCAAAGTAAAATAGCCTTCCCTGTGCATGTGCAGGGAACGCTCTGGGAACTCTGCGGCGGGCTGGCGGTTGGAAGCCGCTCAGGCCTCACTGCAGGAGTGGGGGGGGGAGGGAGGAGGAGATCGGCGGCGGTGGAGGAGGCCGCCGGATCAGCAGCGGAGGAGGAGACCGCCAGAGCGGGGGGGGGGGGGAAGGAGATCGCCGCAGGGGCCGGGGGTAGGGGGGGGGACCGGGGGGGGGGGGGGGGAGGGGGAGGGGGGAGAATTGAAGTGGGGGGGGGGGGGGTGAAGAGGGGGTTGGGGGTGTAATTGGTCCTGGAGAAACTCTTTCTTTTTCCCTCTCTCCTCTCTTCCTTCACCATACAGGCTTTTCCCTTTTGTCCATTTCCCTGTTTGCTTTCTGCCCGAGGTTATTTCTTTTCTCTTTTTCCCTCTTTGTTTTCTCTCTCTTTTTCCCATAGTGTATTAGAAGGGGGAAGGGAAGATGCTGGGGGAGGTGGGGAGGAGGGAGGGGAGGCGGGGGAATGAGACAGATACGAAGGAACAACACCCCCAAAGTATCGCGGGTCCCTTTTCTTGTACATTTTATTTTGGAAAACAAAGTAAAGGTATAAAGGGGATACAGAAACCAAAGAGGGGCTGCATAACTCAATTAGGTATATCAAAAGTAATTCTATATTACAGAGCGTATGAAACAAAAAGCATTTCTCCCCAGCGACCCCTTCTCTGTAGTTTTTAAAACACTGTTTATATAGACAGTGGTACTTACTCGGAGACCAAGCCCTATGAGGAAAGGCTGAGGGACTTGGGAATGTTCAGTCCTACAGTTCCACACGGCCTGTAAAACGGAGCTCTTCCACCAGGCCTTTGGAGCCGCCACCACCACCACCGTTACCATCACCAACAATAATCGACATTCTATGGTAGAAGAGCCCTGATCCGCTGGACCCTTTAATCACTGTCCAAGCCAACCCTCCCCAATCCTCCCCAAAAACAACTGAGCAGACCAATGGAGCCGACGATAGTGAGGAACTCATACTAGCACTTTATTATGATGTTTGGTTTTAATATTGTATTTATATTGCCTGTTGCTGTGTTTTTATATGTATTGCTGGAATTTTATTCTGTTTCTATAAGGCGCCCTGATTCAGCCTTGGCTGGGAGGGCGGGATAAAAGTGCAATCAATCAATCAGTCTGGAGAAGGGGAGGCTGAGGGGGGACGGGATGGCTCTCTTGAAGTATCTGAAGGGCTGTCACTCAGAGGAGGGGAAGGGAGCTGTTCCTGTTGGCAGCAGAGGAGAGGACTCGCAAGAATGGGGCACCAGTTGGATCTTAGGAAAAACTTTTTGACAGTCAGAGTTGTGCAACACTGGAACAGGCTGCCTCGGGAGGTGGTGAGCTCCCCCTCCCTGGCAGTCCTTAAGCAGCAGCTGGACAAACGCTTGTCAGGGATGCTCTAGGCTAATCCTGCATTGAGCAGGGGTGGGTGGGACTAGATGGCCTGTAGGGCCCCTTCCAGCTCTGGGATTCTATGATTCTATTTTATATTCAGTATTTTAGATTTCAAATTCCGTAACTAACTCTTCGTTTCCAGGGTCTGAATCGTGTCAGAAACTCCAGCGACGTCGTGGGGGTGGTTTTGAAGGAGCTGAAGCAACAGAGCTCTATGGGCTCCTTCAAGCTCCTGGTGGCCGTGGATGGAGTCAACTCCCTTTGGGGAAGGACAACGCTGAAGAAAGAAGACAAGAGCGCGGTATGGAACTCACGGCAGCTAGGCCGCGGTGGTGGCCGCTACCTTATCTGCCTTTCCGGAATGGGGCTGGGCAGGGGTCATTTCGCAGAAAAAGAGGTTCAGGAGCTCATTAGCATAACTCATTAGCATAACTTTTTTGCATATGTCACACCCCCTGACATCACCGGAAGTGAGGGTCCATCTAGTCCAGATTCCGGCTTCACACAGTGGTCAACCAGTTGCCCCGTAAGCCAGCAGATAGGGCATAGAGGCCAAGGCTGATGTTGCCACCCAGTAGTAGTAGCCACTGATAGATCTCTCCTCCATGAACCTAAGTCCCTCTTAAAGCCATCTATGCCAGTCCAGTGTTCCCTCTAAGCTGTGTAGTCTTGTGAGCAAAATTTCTACTTTGTGAGCTGCTGGCATTAAAGTTATGAGCAAATGATTTGGCTACTGCATAAATTAGCTTGCTCTGGACTCATCCTCCCTGAGCTAAGACAAAAATCTGTGAGCTGGAGGCTAAAATTCTGTGAGCTAGCTCACACTAACTCAGCTTAGAGGGAACCCTGCTAGTGGCCATCACTTCCTCCTCTGGAAAGGTGAAGGGAAGGTTTGGGATCTCTGTGACTGGTGTGGACTGCAGCTCTGTGGTACAGCATCCGCTTGGCACGCAGAAGGTCCCGGGTTCAGTCCCCGGCGTCTCCAGATAAAAGGACCAGGTGGTAGGCGATGTAAAAGACCTCTGCCTGAGACCTTCAAGAGCTGTTTCCAGGGTAGCCTTCACCTACATAGCCCAGGCAAGCCCGATCTCATCAGATCTTGGACGCTAAGCTGACCCTGGCAAGGGCTTGGATGGGAGACCTCCGAGGAATACCAGGGCCGTGATGCAAAGGCAGGCAGTAGCAAGCCACCTTTTTGAATGTCCCTTGCCTCCAAGCCCCACTAGGGGTCGCCAGAAGTCCACCATGACTTCCAGGCACACACACACACACACACACACACACAGAAAATACGAGAGAGAGAGAGAGAGATATGTTTCCAGCAGGAACAGACAATACTGACCTTGACGGACCAATGGGCTGATTCCATATAAGGCGGCTTCATGTGTTCAATGCCTTCTCTGTTGGCTTTAGGTCTCCCCGGAGGAGCTGACGCTGATCCACAACCTGAGGAAGATGATGACCAATGACTGGGTGAGAAGAATACTGCTGGGTGCTTTTTTGTTTAGATTGTCCAGTAGAAAGCAAAAGGGACTAAAATTGTCTGGACTGACCAAATCTTTGTCTACAAGGATCCCGTAGGGAAGGGGTCTCCAACCTTTTCGAGCTTGTGGGCCCATTTGGAATTCTGACACAGCATGGCGAGCCCAGCAACAAAATGGCCGCGACAGAACAACTGCCGCGACAGAACAACAGCCACAAAATTAATTGCCACAGCTTAACTTCAGTCACCCAGTGAGCATCCTTGTGCTGGGGTGGCGGCTGCTGCCAAAGCAACATTTGAAAAAAATCTGCACAGCCAATCAAGTCTTCAGGGGCCAATCAGAAGCCTTGCTGGGCGAAAGACCTACCTGGCCCCGCCCAGTTATTAAAAACAAATGGTGGGCACCAGAAAAGGTGTTAGTGGGCACAGTGGTGCCCATGGGCACCATGTTGGAGACCCCTGCCTTCGGGAGATATCTTCAGTATTTTCTGACCCAGGGCACACCTTAATAATACTTTCAAGTCATCGTCTTGTACTCCTTCCAACAGCCCTGCAAGGAGAGTTAAGGCTATCCTTTTGTGGGGCGGGGTGAGGCAGAGGCAGGATTCAAACCAGGGAACCTCCTGATTCAGAGCTTTGTGTCTTAAACTGGGAACCCGAGAACGCTTTCCCGAGAGTGAAGTCCCATCGAGTAAAAAGGTGGCTTCCCCCCCTGCTTGAGATGGCTCCCTTATCCACCATGGAAGCTTTTGGATACTGAAGTCAGGCTGGCTTTCTTCTCCATACCGACGAGCATTGCTTATAATTGCGACTGTCCTCTTGCTGGGGTGAAGCCAGATACAAGGAGTGACTTTGGGCGGGTATAGCTGGTCTTGAGGGACGCACCTCCCCGAAATCCCATTCTCCATGCAACAACATAATGCAAAGGAGAGCCAGCCGCACTTGCAGTCACCCTGCCTCTGTCTGTGGGTGTGTTTCACCTTAGCTTCCCCCCCCCAAAGGAAAAACATAGCGGTGGCCAGGGCTATTTTTGGGCAGGAACGCACAGGAATGGAGTTCCGGCTGGCTCCTGAGTTGGCCACACCCAGCAGGAACTCATTAGCATAATAGGCCACACCCAACAGCAGAAACTCATTAGGATTGGCTACAGTAGGGGTGTGTGGCCTAACATGCAAAGGAGTCCCTGCTACAAAAAAAGGCCCTGGGTTTTGACAACAAACAAGGTAAACAGAATAAGACGCAAAAGGTGGGTGTGGCTGGATGACCACACTTCTGGCAATAGGGGCTGCGGCCTAATATGCTAATGAGCTGTGGTGTCGGGGTGTGGCCTATTATGCTAATGAGTTCCTGCTGGGCTTTTTCTACAAAAAAAGCCCTGACGGTGGTACAGATAAAGCCATCTCCTGCCAAGTCGGACTGTTTTTCCTCCACCTTTGTCCCCTTTGATTGGCAGTTTGGTGTAGTGGTTAAGCCAGTTTAGTGTCGTGGTTAAGTACGCGGACTCTAATTTGGGAGAACCGGGTTTGATTCCCCACTCCTCCACTTGCACCTGGCTGGATGACCTTGGGCAAGCCGTAGCTCTGATAAGAGCTGTCCTTGAAAAAGAGCAGTTACTGTCAGAGCTCTCTCAGACTCACCTCCCTCCCAGAGTGTCTGTTGTGGGGAGGGGAAGGGAAAGGAGTTTGTAAGCCGCTCTGAGACACCTTTGGGTAGTGAAGGGCGGGGTATAAATCCAATCTCCTCTTCTTCTACTACTGGGTCCCAAGTAGAGATCCTTAAATGGAGATAGCAAGGATTGGACTTCAGACCTCCTTCGGGCAACACAAGTACTGTATCACTGAGCCGTGGCCCATCCCCGAGGTGGAGTTAATTAATTAATTAATTATCGTATGGCATTGTGTGTAGAATAGCCAGGAGATCCTAAGATTGTCTGGCAGTCACTCTTTTAGCGTCATGCACCAGTAGGTGGCGAGCTAGACTCATTTTTAAGGCAAGAGATGTTTCAGAGGTGGTTTGCCATTGCCTGCCTCTGCCTCACGACCCTGGTATTCCTTGGAGGTCGCCCTTCCAAATACTAGCCCAGGCGACCCTGCTTAGCTTCTGAGATCTGACGAGATCGGGCTGGCCTGGGCTACCCTGAGATAGAAGCCCTATGTAACAGCCTACGAAGTTGCTTTATACCAACTGGGTTCAGCTTCCTTATATCGCCTTCTTTGGATGGCAGCGGCTCCCCGGAGTCTCAAGACTTTCCCAGCATCTGCCCGAGATCCCTTAAACAGAGATGCCAGGGATCGAATCTGGGACCTCAGCCGTGCCAAACGCGCGCTGTGCCCACAGACCCTTCCCAGCTTGTGTGACCACCAGTTGAAGACCGATGCAGCAATCGGGCAAAGACTTGATGCCATCCCATAAAATATTTTACTTACCCGACCTTGCCCGCCCAAATTATTTGCAACACATTTTGAAAACAGAGATGACCCTTTTCCAGTTTGCAAGCCCTTCCCATCTGGTCACCTGAAGATGATCTGCGCTCACCACTGGGCTTCCTTTGAAGGATGTTTCCACAACTCCCCTGCCTCTCTGCTTTTCCTTTTCACAGCCGTTGTACCTTTGCCCCAAGTAGCCCTTGGCGCAACCTGAGATCTTTCTGTAACAGGTACAGCCTAACTTGAGTTTGCGTAACACCTTCTTTATCTTGTCTTAAGGCTGCTACAGGTCTCTAGCGAGAAGATCTCAATCTGCACCAAAAGCTGTTAGGGCTCCTTCCCACCTTGAAAAGATTTTAAAAACCAGCAGTAATTCAGATCTGTCTCCCTTTTCTTTTTTCCCTAACCTCCGTGGAGATAAGCTTTAATGAAATCCTTTCAGTTGTTTGTGACCCCCTTAGCCTCAGAAAAGGCAGTGCCTGATCTCCTCTGTAACTCCGCGCGGCCAACACAGGGAAATCATAATAATATGGTTATGATGATGATTTAAACAATTTCTTTTTTTATATATAATTATATTTATTAGACTTTATAAGCCCATATTGTACACATAAACAAATGCATCAACAATATTACACATATATCCACACCTTGTACCACACTTGTTTTCTGAACAACACAGATTGATATAGCCGACATACCTTCAATAACTAGATTTTAATCTTATTTTCAGTATTTTAAATCCGGTCTGCATTGACTAAACCTTTATGTTACTATAACCTTTTGAGGTATATTAAGCATCTGTCCAAAGGCTTACCCTAAAGGTTCATATCCACAACTCTATCAAGTATGTACTATTCTAACTCTTATCCCTGTTTCCATATCTTGCCAGTTCCATGCGTTCAATACAGGGGTTTATGTAATAATTTATTTAAAGCCTTTAATTTCCTCTTTTAAACATCCCTTTCCCCTTAAACTTTCTCAATATCCTCCATTATAATTTTTCAGGCCCACACCTACTTTAATTCTATCTGTAACTAACCTTATCATGTACATTACATTAAGTTCATTAAGTAACAATAACATTATACCTACTTACAACTCCACCCTACCTTCTATCCAGTGTCAAAATCAATTTCTAATCAATTTCTAATCACATATTTATACATTTACACTTCCCCCCAATCATTTACCAGTTTATTATTCTTAAATATATTTAATTTCATTCTTTTTTGTAAATCAATTTAATCTAATTGAAAACCTACCAGTATCAAATCAATTCCTAATCAAGTTCTAATCACATGATTATACATTTACACTTCCCTCCAATCATTTACCAGTTCATTTTTCTTAAATATAGTTAATTTCATTCTTTTAAAAATCTATTTGGTCTATTAAAAACCTCGTAATAATTTTTAACTAATTAAATTAGTACCAATTCACTAATACCTTTTATAAACATTTTGAGTTATATCACTCTTCTCATCATATTACAGATTACTTTTCTCATAAACCAATATACTTAAACAATTACTTATCCCCCCTTATTAATTTTCTTTTATCTTAAAATACCCTTATAATCACCTCTAAGTGACCCTAAAAATTCAAATACAAATACACCAATTCATAAGTAAGTAGGTTTAAATACAAACACCAATACTTCAATTCAAAAGCCAGTAAGTTTCAGATCAGTCTTCCGGTTTATATCCAGAGAAGAGAGAGGCACAATGTTCTCCTTTTCATATCGTTTTAACTTCCTCCTTGGCATTTGCACTTTATTTTTTTGTCTCAACATGTCCACGTGCCTTCTTTCCTTGAACACTCCTAGACCTCCATAACTCTTTCTTCTGACTTTCACTCCTTCCGCCATCCGGGGTCTGTTATTACTTTTAAACTTCCATAGCCGTCGCTTTTTCCTTTTGATCTTTTTATTTTTCCCTCGACCAATTTTTAAACATTGACTATTTTCTTTTAAGGGTCCCAATTTAAGTCCAGGCAGCTTTCCTTTAGGATCTATTTCATCGCTTAACAACTCCACACCGTCATCCAAATTCTCTTCCTTAACCCAGTCCTTGTTTTCCGTCAGCTCCTCCTCAAGAATCTCCTTCACAGTGATTAGCCCTTTCTTTTCCTTTCCCTCTGTTTCCACTTGTAGACCATACTCCTTCCTTATTTCTATACAAGCTTCTTGACATCTTCTCCTCACCGCTTCTCTTATCGCTCTTATAAATTGATCCATATCTGTCTCCCCACCTTCCAGTTCTTCAACCCGTTCCGCTTCATTGCTTTCAGTATGCTCCATCTCCTTCAAACTCCAGACACAGTACGTAAAGCTAGCTCATCAAAATATGTTTGTCCCCAAGTCTCTCATAGCTTCACCAAGACCCGCACAGAACACAGCACCAACAATCGTCTTTCTTTCCCCCACCAGAGTATCAATTTACAGTTCAGTCCTGTTTAATTCCCCGGCCGCTTTACTTCACCTGTTTTTGGACGCGATGTTTGGGGGTATTTTACCATTTTTCAGATGGTTAAACTCCTTCCCTCACTTCCATTTCCATGTTTCAGTCAAGGCTTCTTTCATTTCTTCGTGTTGTTACCATTCTCATTCGCTTCCGTTAAGTACAAAGTTTTTAAAAAACCGGGTGGCTGCGCCTATGCAAACACGGTGGCCATGTTTGCTCCGTCAATCGCTCCCGCTTCGGGGCGGTTTCTGGACACCCCCCCGCATTGCCGGCTGCGGGGAGGGCCAAAAAAAAAAAAGCCCCATGCTCCAGCTTGCCACCCCAGGCCCGCTGGTCGGGTATTCCCGGCGCCCGGGATCCCCGAAAAGAGACGAAACAGAACAGTGCGGGCGGGTCAGCGCTTGCCGAAACCCGCCCGTCGTCGCGCCATACCGGAACCGCATGATTTAAACAATTTCTATGCTACCTCTCCACCCAACTAGGATTGCCAAGGTGGTGAACATGAAAACGTTACAGATGTTTAAAACAGCATCTAACATGTTTAAACAAGTCAGTGAAAATGTAAACATGCAAACACAAATGGGGAAGAGGGTCGATAAGAGTTACTGGGGGTTTGCGAAACGAAACAAAAGAGCCAGCTCAGTGTAGTGGTTACGTGTGCAGACTCTGATCTGGGAGAACTGGGTTTGATTCCGTACTCCTCCACATGCAGCTGCTGGTGTGACCTTGGGTCAGTGACAAGTTCTCTCAGAGCTGTTCTCCCAAGAGCAGTCCTTGAAAGAGCTCTCTCAGCCCCACCTACCTCACAGGGTGTCTGTTGTGGGGAGGGGAAGGGGAAGGAGACTGTAAACCACTCTGAGACTCCGACTGAAGGACGGGGTATAAATCCAATCTCTTCTTCTTCTTCTTCACCCACTGGCAGAAGAATCCCCCTGGGGTGGGAGTCAAGAAGGCCCTTTCTTGGGTCCCCCCCCCTGTAGCCTCATGTGGTGGCAGGGTTGTCAGGTCCTACCTCCAATCTGGCGGGGGCTCCTGGGTCCTCGTCGGGATCTTCTGCACACGCAGCACGATGACGTCACCCAGAAGGGACGTCATCACGTTGCTGATGTCGGTGTGTGTGTGTGTGTGTGTGTGAAACTCTAGTTTTTGGCCAGAACTTGTGAGTTTTTGCCCTCAAAACCATAGAGTTTGCCCCAAAACTAGAGCGTCATCACCCTCAGCATCAGCAGAACGATGACGTCACTACTGGGTGACCTCACTGTGCCGCCAACACCGGAGGGGGCCGTTCAGGGGTGGGGCTTCCCCACTGGCCAACAGCCAATTGGAGCCCCTGAAATCTGGGGAACCCTTGCCCCGACCGGGGGGATGGCAACCGTATGTGGTGGGGGCACCTGAAGCAGGACCTCCGAAGTGAAGCGGAGCAAAATGGGCAGGAAGAGAGGGGAGGGTAAGTGTGGGCCTCCCGCCGAGGACCTGATTTCCTCTGTGACGTGCCGCTTCATTGTATTTTCAGACCGGGGGTGCCATCGTGACGACCCTCAGCTGGACGGGGTCTGTCTTCCAACCCCGCGGAGCGTACCTGCCCAGCGAATTGCTAGGAAAGGTGAGGCCAAGGCTGGGGGCTCCTCCTCCGTTTTCATGTTGTGAGAGAGACACAAATGTGGAGGGGGAGGTAGTTGTGGATTTCCTACATTGTTTGGGGGGGGGGTTGGACTAGATGACCCCGGAGGTCCTTACCAACTCTGTGATTCTATGAAACAGAAGCGCAACTCTGGATTTGTGTTGCTCAAAGATGGAAGAGGGTGTGTGTCTCTCTCTCTGCTTACCCACCACAATGCAGGCCGTGTAGACTCTGCCCTTGTTTACTCCCGGCACATTTGAAGCCGCTTGTGGACGGTGTATCATTGCACTTTCCAGCTGCTTATTACGGTCAGAGCTGTTCCTCGGAGGAACCGGCTCCCCCAGGAGGTGGCGGGCTCTCCTTCTCTGGAGGTTTCTAAACAGAGTCTAGATGGCCATCTGACAGCCATGCCGATTCTGTGAACTGACAGACCAAAACAGAATGGGAACCACGGAATTAAGAAGGCTAGCTAAACACAAACAAAAATCACCATTGAAATCACCGTTGCAGAGTCTGGAAGAGACAAACAGCGACCTGGCATGCTGTTCTGGATATAAAAAACGTTTCTGACTGATGTCCTTCTTTAGAGTTGCGTATCAAACATTAATCTGGAACGAATGCCTTCAAATAATAAGATACAGCAGTAACAATTGTTCTCTGATGCTGACTTGACTTGGAAAAGTGTTTGGAAAGCGCTATGCTCTAGGGAAGCGATTGTTACTGCTGTATCATATTATTTATTATTATTCTGCAGTGTATAAACAAAGAGACTTTTTGGCAGCAAATGCATAAGCAAAGAGATTGTGTCAAGGACTTTATGTGACTGTGGTAAGATTTGCAAGATCGTATATTCCTTTGATGTTATTCGTGATTTGGAATATTTAATATTTCTAGAAGCTTTTCTGTGCACATGGAACGTTAATAAGGATTGAATATTATAGTGTAATTTTTGGAAGGTTATCAGTAAATTGTTATATATTATAGTTTTCGCGGTGAGTCTTGTTTGTGTTCAGCGATTCCGTGAATTTAGGCAGATGGGGAGAGGGAGGGCAGGAATGGAAAAGCCAGCAGTTGGCTCTCATGGCCCTTGTTTGGTGGAGTGGTTAGGAGCACGGACTCTAATCTGGGAGAACCGGGTTTGTTTCCCTGCTCTTCCACATGCAGCTGCTGGTGTGACATTGGGTCAGTCACAAGTTGTCTCAGAGCTGTTCTCTCAGGAGCAGTCCTCGAAAGAGCTCTCTCAGCCCCACCTACCTCACAGGGTGTCTGTGGTGGGGAGGAGAAGGGAAAAGAGATTGTAAGCCGCTCTGAGACTCCTTCAGGTAGTGAAGGGCAGGGTATAAATCCAATGTCGTCATCTTCTTCTTTCTTTTATGCCCAGGGTAATGCTGATCCCCCACTTTGGGGTCAGAAAGGAATTTTCCTCCAGGGCAGATTGGCCCAGGGATCCTGGAGGCTTTTTGCCTTCCTCTGGGCACAGAGTGGAGGGGGGAGGCAGCCGTGAATTTCCTGCATTGTGCAGGGGATTGAACTAGATGACCCATGGGATCCAACTCTATGTTTCTATGTCATAAGCGGGAGCTGGAGAGCTGTGTGTGGTATGAAAGCCTAGTCCTCAGCATCTCCAGTTAAAAGATCCAGGCAGGAGGTGATGTGAAAGTCCTCTACCTGAGACCCTGGAGAGCCGCTACCAGCCTGAGTAGTCATTGGGGCCTTTGATGGGTCAATGGTCTGATTCGGTATAAGGCAGCTTCACGTGTTCATGTGTTAATTGTTCAGTGCTGCCTCTGACTGGCTCTGTTTTCAAGCCTAGCTTCTCAGCCCCTAAGAGCTAGAAGCCTGATAGTATTGTCCAGAAACAAGTTCAGAGCCTTACGACGTTATATCTAGCAGTGCTGACTGAGCACACATGGGGCTAGATGTTAGTTGCTTACAAGTGGGGCCCCGCGGGACTTGCAGGGTAAGATCCCATCCTCCCCTTTCTTGCCAAGTTCAGTGTGGTTCTGTGCCTCACATTTTATTTTGGGATGGACCTAAACCCCACAGTGTAAGTTTTCAGATTTATGTGCAAATCGGGGGTGGGGGGTCCTGAATTTTTGAAAACTATCTCTTTCCTGTTAGCGTGGGCCCAGCCTGCAGTTTTAGATATCCACAGATCAGCCTTCACTTAAAAATTAGAATATCTATATATCTAATAGCGAAAGGCGCCCCCTGCGTGCGGATACCTAAATCCGTGCATTGGGGGCACCTGGGGGGGAGGGAGATTTTTGTGCACGGGGCAGTCCCCAGGTGTGCACAAAAATCTAAAAACCTGAAAAAAATATTGGGGGGATACTTAAATCCCCCCCAAAAGTGACAGAGCGTCCCCTGCGCATGCGCAGGGGATGCTCTGCGAACTCCCTCGCCGCCACCGCTTGGGGGGGGAGAGAGAGCAGCAAGGCCCGAGCGAGGCCCTTGCTTCGGAAGCGGGGGGGGAGAGCAGCGCGGCCCGAGCGGCAAGCCGCTCGGCCCTCGCTTCAGAGGCAGCGCCTCGCCGCCGCCTGGGAGGGGGGAAAGAGAGCAGTGAGGCCCGGGCGGCAAGCCGCTTGGGCCTCGCTTTGGAGGCAGCGGGGGGGGCGGGAAGGGCAGCGAGGCCCGAGCGACTTGCCGTTTGGGCCTCGCTTTGAAGCCGGGGGGGGAGGGAAGGGGGGAGATCGAGCGGGGTGTGTGGAGGAGACGGGGGAGGAACCGGCGGGATGGGAGGAACTTACCTACTCCTGCTGTTTCCTCCTCTGCCTCCTGTGTGGAGGTCCCTCCCCCCCCTGCGAGTATTGCGGGTCCCGCCCCCTTGTAAGATTTATTCCCCAATTCCTACCTTTGAGCCTTCCACCACACTGCTTGCAATGCGTGGAACGCTCTGCATATTTTTCTCCCTTTTCTCCCGGAACGCCTCTACACAGACCAGTCTTGTTCCTGCTGCTGCTGCTTTCCTCTGACCCTGACAACTTTTACAGCCCGCCGAATTCTTAAAATCTTTGGCTTCTCTGCTTTCACACACCATCCAGCCCCAATTTATTTCCAACTTTGCTATACTCCTTTCTGGCACCAGAGTTCTGAATACAGTTTATCTGAGCTGGCAGTAGACAAAACCAAGCGAGAGCACTTTTCTTTTTTCTTTTATAATTTATAATTTTATTTAAGAATTTAATAACAATACAAGGTAAGTACAATAGATGTCTGCAGATGAAGTACAAAAATAGGTTAGAAAAAACATTAATGCTTAACTATGTCCAGGCTGAAGACACCAAAGAACTGTATTACACACTACAAAACATCTCTTAAGGCAACAATCATATAATACATATCTTTACAGGCAAATTTTAATTGTGTTCTGAAAGTAACTTCAGATCTTAAGTTAGATCTAAGCCAAATAATGTTTCAGGTTCAAGTTTCAAAAGTATATCATTGATTTGTATAAAGGATTTGCTGGAATTACATCAGATTCAACCATATAGTTAATGAGTGAATAAAAAAAGGTAAAGGTAAAGGTTCCCTTGCTCGAAAGCCAGTCGAATCCGACTCTAGGGTTGCGGTGCTCATCTCCGTTTCCAAGCCAAAGAGCCAGCGCTGTCCGAAGACGTTTCCGTGGTCATGTGGCGCACGGAACGCTGTTACCTTCCCACCGAAGTGGTACCTATTTATCTACTTGCAATTTCTTGCTTTCGAACTGCTAGGCTGGCAGGAGCTGGAACCAGAGACAGGAGCTCACTCCGTCATGCGGCAACTCGGGTCTTGAACTGCTGAACTACCGGCCTTCCACAGCCTGCAGTTCAGTGTCTTAACCACTTGAGCCACCGCAGCTCCTTAATGAGTGAATACCAGGATGCTATACATTTTTCTTCAGATTTGCTGGAGGAGAGATTGAGTGTGCTAAGTGATATTTTGGACATAATGAAGTGGTCCCAAATACGATTTCAAGAGCACTTTTCGAGAACAGTACTGGCTCCAGACATGGAAAGCGGGGTGTCGGGCTCCTTCCTGGCTCCCCCATGACTCCATCCTTGGTGGTTAGGAGTCGGAGGGAAGGGGACTGTGAGCAGCAGCAATAGAGGATGGCCATCTGCTTCCTGCCCGCTCTCTGTTGGCATAATTTCTGACAGCGGAGCCTAAAGGGAGAGGGCTTTCAACTGGAGTTGAGTCATGCCAGAGGAGGGTACTTGGTGGCTGCATCCTCATTCAGGTGACCTCAGCAGACAGCACGATTTCCTTTTGGCCTTGCTTTGATAAGACGCAGTTGTGCGGGTTCTTTTCCCTCAACGCCCAGAGGTTATGTGGGCACAATGGAACTTTCCAGGGCCTGTTCATCATCTTCCTCTTCCCGTTCTCCCCACCCCGCAGGAGGGTTTCGAATCCCTGGACCCCTTTGTTCCCATCCAAGCTCACGACTACACTGACCTGGAGTTTGAGAGCTGCTACCAGTACTACCTGGAGCGCGGGTGGCTTCAGCATGAAAAAGGTGAGTCTGGCTCTGAGTCAGGGGAAGGTGTGCATTTTGCATTCGATATGTTCTGCACTCTGCTGCTTTCTGGAAGGGACTGAAAACCGAGATTGGCCTACCTTTCCAGAAGAAGCAGATTGCTGATTCACGTCATCTCCCACATCTTTGGGTGTTTCTATTCATAATAACAATAAAAGTGCCATCAAGTCACAACTGACTCATGGCAACTCCTCTCTGGGTTTTCAAGGCAGGAGACGAGCAGAGGTGGTTTGCCATTGCCTTCCTCTGCCTAGCAGCCCTGGACTTCTTTGGTGACCCTGCTTAGCTTTACAGCCATTGATTGAGAGGTATTTTCCTTTACTCTCCACCGTACACTGTCCAGAGGTGTCAAAACTCCTTTGTTATGAGGGTGGGTCTGACATAAATGTCACTTTGTTGGGCCCGGTCAGTGTGTGCCATGAAATGTAATGCCAAATACAGGAGATATGAAGAGAAGAGAAGAGAAGAGATTGGATTTATACCCCGCCCTTCACAACCCAAAGGTGTCTCAGAGCGGCTTACAAACTCCTTCCCCTTCCCCTCCCCACAACAGACACCCTGTGAGGTAGGTGGGGCTGAGAGAGCTCTTGACAGAAACTGCTCTTTTCAAGGACAGCTCTTATCAGAACTACGGCTTGCCCAAGGTCATCCAGCCAGGTCCAAGTGGAGGAGTGGGGAATCAAACCCGGTTCTCCCAGATTAGAGTCCGTGCACTTAACCACTACACCAAACTGGCTGTCTTTATAAAGGACACAGGCAAAACCAATTAATGATATTGTTTTTTTATTTAAAACACAAACAAAAGCAATTGATTTACTGGGGAACCCACAAAAGCCCCAATAAATGTATTTAATCATATGCAAGTCTAGGGGTTTTTTTCCAAGGGATACCATGAAAGGGGGAGTTCGTTATAATTCCATACATACCAGTTGCTTGCGGGCCGGGTAAGAGCCCTGCATGGGCCGGTTCCAGCCCCCAGGACTTATGTTTTACACCCCTGGTCTAGTCCTTGTGTTGGGTCAGATGGTAGATGGGGAAGGCTTAGATTCCCGCTAGGCCCTTCAGCGGGGCTTAAACTGGTAATCAGCTGGCCAGCTCTCCCACGGATTTGTGACAATAGTAACCACTGTAATCCACCTTTCTCCCTTTGGCATAGAAACGGAAGTATAAACATCATAGGGAAAAACGACATTTAGACATGCTGAACTTGTATATTGTTTAGATTCAGGTGGGGGTTCATGTTGGTCTGAAGCAGCAGAACGAAGTTTGAGTCCAGGGGCACCTTTAAGACCAACAAAGTTTTATATCTGAATCTATTTGAAGAAGTGTGCCTTGCACACGAAAGCGTATACCCAGGATAAAACTTTGTTGGTCTTAAAGGTGCCACTGGACTCCAACTTTGTATATTGCCTAGTTAAAGAAAGTGAACAACCAATACAAACAACCGTGATATAATTACTAAGATATTATTCTGTGATTTTTTTTTAATTTACTATTAAGATTTTTAACGTTAACAGAGTTTCACAATGCATATAAATCCCCAATAATGAACCAAGTGCTTAGGTCAAATAACTGTCCATATAGTCACTCTGAACTTCTAATTGTCAACTTCTTCATCCATTCAAAGTTCTATGTGACAATCCCTCCTCTCGGCAGTCAAAGCCACATAATTTCTCCACTTCTGTTAATAGCACATACGCGGCTTCCCGCCAATGGGATGGCTCGAAACCCATTTCTATGATCTTAACCTGGGCTATTTTGGGGCAGGGAATGCACAGGTACGGAGTTCCGGCTGGCTCCCAAGTTGGCCACACCCAGCAGGAACTCATTAGTATAATAGGCCACGCCCAACAGCAGGAACTCATTAGGATTGGCTACATTAGGGGTGTGTGGCCTAACATGCAAAGGAGTTCCTGCAACAAAAAAAGCCCTGGGTTTTAACAACAAACAAGGTAAATAGAATAAGAAGCAAAAGGAGGGTATGGCTGGATGACCACACTTCTGGTAACATGGGAATGCGGCCTAATATGCTAATGAGCGGTGCAGTCAGGGGGTGTGGCCTAATATGCTAATTAGTTTCTGCTGCTGGGTGTGGCCTATTATGCTAATGAGTTCCTGCTGGGCCTTTTCTACAAAAAGAGCCCTGGCACTCTTAACTAACACATAGTTCCTCTGTTTGATAATACAGTGAGCTCCACTCTGTGAAGTCCTTTCAAAAGAGGCGGCTCAGCTTGCTTGTAAAAACTCTAATCTCAACAGTAGTTTTCAGACAATGCAGCACACTTTCTTATCAGTCTAATTGGGTGTAGTTAAAAAAAGTGGCAGGTGACTTAGCATGGGTGTTGTCAGGGCCAGGGTCTGAAGTGCGCGAGACCAAACGTGGGCCAAGGCTGGCGATTTCGAGTCCCACACTGGGCAGAGAACTATCCTGCTTCAAAATATGTAGCTGATCTCATCTGTGTTTGCTTAAACGTCAAGCCCCTCCCACTTTCTGTAGGCTTTACACCCTGCCTAAGCATATTGAGGCTTGAGGCCACACGGGCCTGCTGTAAAAACAAATTCTGCACCAGTTTGAAAGTGGTGTCACAGAGAACAAGCCTGCCTGGTTTGGATCTCTGACTGGATTAAAAACCCAAATGAAAGACTGATGAAACTGGAAGCAGCAAATTTGTCCGAAGGCTTACATAGACACTTTTGGATTAAAACAACTGGGAAAACACATTAAAAAGCTATGAGATGTAATGGTCACGTAATCAGAGATAGTTTACTGAAAAATTGGTGGTCGCTTAATACAAGAACAAGTCCCCCAACATCAGCTATCGCATCACCACTAGACACTTATCATGACAAACATGAGAGGAAAAATAATGACTTTATAGCTTATCAAGACAAGATAAGATCAACAAACATGGGAAAATTATGTCTTGGCAAGCTGTGGATGAAGAAAGCTGTGTCACAGAAAACGAGTCTTATTTGCTGTTGCTCGATTCGAAACAGATGAATAGAAAAAGCCCGGGAAAGGGGTGTCATTTCAGCAGCAGCCAAACGAAGCCATGCCCCATCAGTAATAGGACAGGCCTGAAATACCCACCCCCCAATCCATCCCTACCTCCCAGTATTAAGCTCTGCTCTGCTTCTCTAGCTATTAACTAGCTTTCTCTTTAAACTTTTAGCAAAATCAGTTCTGTGCTTCAGTACTTTGTGATAGGTGCAATATTACCTTTGGGTAGGGTTGCCAGCCTCCAGGTGGGGCCTGGAGATCCCCCGCTTTTACAACTCATCTCCAGCTGACATCACCTGCCCTGGAGAAAATGGCTGCTTTGAAAGGTGGACTCTATGGCATTGTACCCTGCTGAGGGGGGCCCTCCCCTCCCCAAACCCCACCCTCTCCTGGATCTACCCCCAAAGTCTCCAGGTATTTTCCAACCCAGACCTGGCAACCCTACCTTTGGGGGATTATTTGTATTGCTCTATGTTTTTACAAAGCGCTTTGATTTTTTACACTTGTGCTGACTTGTAAGGTGTCCGCAACCCAGAAACATCTTTACACTTATTTATTCGAATCTCCTTCTCACCCCAGCCAGCACCAATGAAGGACGGTTGGAGCTTCGCTTCCTCAGCGGCGGCAATCCCAGAGAGTTCGATCGAATCAGCGCCTTCATATGACAGCGGCTCACTTGTACCTTTGATGTCATAGCCCCAAAGACCTCCCTTATGTCCGATTAAAAACAAATTTGTATTTACAATGTAGTACTCTCCTTTATAAGGGCTGCAGTGGCTCAGGTGGTTAAGATGCTGAGCTGCAGACCGGAAGGTCAGTGGTTCCGCAGTTCGAGACCCGAGTGCCGAGTGACGGAGTGAGCTCCCGTCTCTGGTCCCAGCTCCTGCCAACCTAGCAGTTTGAAAGCAAGAAAATGCAAGTTGATAAATAGGCACCACTTCAGTGTGAAGATAACCATTCCACGCACCTTGGCGTCTACTCATGCCGGCCACATGACCACGGAAACATCTTTGGACAGCGCTGGCTCGTTGGCTTGGAAACGGAGATGAGCACCACATCCCTAGAGTCAGATTCAACTGGCTTTTGAGCAAGGGAAACCTTTACCTACTCTCCTTTATTAATAGGGAAAGGAATGATGGAAGCTAGGGTGACTGTGTCATATGGAGACAGCTTCAGAGGATAGCTGTGTTGGTGTGCAGTAGAACGGTTAGATTCGAATCCGGCAGCAGTTTAGGGACCAGGAAGGGTTTCGGAGTAAGAGCCTTCGAGAGTCAAAGATCTCACGAAGGGAATGACTCAAACCTATGTCGCATGGATTAGCAAGGGCACACCACCCTTCCTTCCTTACCCTCTGAGACGTTAGTTAAAGCACGAAAACATCCTTTTTATTGTTATTAAAGTACAGGCTGCCATGCTCACTGCAAACCAAGGCAGATTACAAAATACGAAAAACAAACTACAACAGGCCAGATCTCTAATAAAGGAAGGCTGCAGAAGAGTTGGGAAACAGTGCATATAGTTTATAAGAGTGCAAGATCTGTTTCTTTTTCCCTCCCCGTTTAGCAGAAGTGCAAATAAGAATTGCAGCAATATGTGACTAGTAATTTTCTGGTTGATTGCCACCATAGGGGTGGGGTTGTTACCATTACATTTTTTAAAAAAAATATACAGTGATGGCCCTTAAAATAGCTATGTGCACCTGTATCCCTTACCAGTTGTATAGTTGTATAGGGTTGTTTGTTGTTGTTGCTTTTTGGGGGGTGCGGTCAAATTGTAGCCAATTTATGGCAACCCCATAGAGTTTTCAAGGCAAGAAATAGTTAGAGGTGGTTTGCCGTTGCCTTCTTCTTCTGAGCCTTCCTTAGTTGTTCCCTATCTAAGAACCGACCCCATTTAGTTTCTGAGATCTGATGGGACTGGGCTATACCACACCATTCCACATCCCAGGACTATGATTGGTGGGGACAATACTGTCAAGTCTCACCTGACCTGCAGAAACCCTGTAGGACTTTCAAGGCCAGAGACGTTCAGAGGTCCCTTGCCATTGCCTGCCTTGACTTCCTCAGTGGTCTCTCATCAAAGTAGTACCCAGGCTCAACCCTACTTGCTGTCTGAGATCTGAGGATGATCAGCCTAGCCGGGGCAATCCCTACCTTAGAATTTCTATCCCACCTTAGCTCTAACTAAAACAGCACAAAGTTTGAGTTCAGTGGCACCTTTAAGACCAATGACATTTAATTCTGGGTATAAGCTTTTGTGTGCATGCACTCTTGAATCTAGAACAGCACCAGATCCTCCGGTATATATAATTCTATTTTGGTCATGGACTCCCCTGAACAGTCCAACATGTTCCAAAATCAGTTCGCTCTCTGATCTGTCATTCAGAGGGTCTCCCTATCCACTGGCTGTTTGCTGTTCCTCTCCCCCCGACAGCCAGTCAGAACACAGAGGTCATTTGCATATGTGGCCTGATTCGCCTTTGCCTCGGAACACAGAGGTCGTTTGCATATGAGGCCTCACTGGCCTTTCCCTCTAACATTCTAAACAGTTTGCTGTTGATGTTCTGAGGTAAAATAAATTTCCCCTTAGTGTCTGTTGGGGGAAACCATGGTTGCAAATCTCCAGGTGAGGGCTGAAGATCACTCAGAATTACAACTGCTTTCCAGATGGCAGAGATCAGTTCCCCTGGAGAAAATGGTGGACTCTGTGTCCTTATATCCTGCTGAGATGGCCCCTGTATGACAGCCAATGTGACGTAGCAGTCAGGGCTTCAGCTATTAAAACTGATGTCCAGATGACCCAGATCAGTTCTCTTGGAGACAATGGCTGCTTTGGGCAGTAGATTCTATAGCATTATACCCTGCTGAGGTCCCTCCAAACCCTCCCCAGGCTCTACCCCTCAAATCTACAGGTATTTCCCAACCCAGAGTTGGCAACTGTGTAATCAGCTACGGAACTACTTTCCAGACCCTTGGAACCCAGAAAACATGGCACAGGAGGTGCTTTTCTACCTTAGCTGCCACTGCATAACACCCCCCTCTCCCTCAAAAAATAAGTCAGAGGTGGAGAGAACCATATCTGTTACCATGAGGCTGTCCTCCCATTCTACCCACTTGGGGCAGCAAAATGACTTGAGACAGCCCTGCCTTATAGCTAAGCAGAAGGAAAGAAACATGGCTTGCCTCCCTCCATTTTCTGCTTCCCTCTGCCGCCCCACAAGCCACAGTCGGGACACTCATCTGGAGCTTCCTTCTAGATCTCATATTTTCCCCCACAATGGGCATTACTCCTAGTCTCTAATAAATCAATACTAAAGTAAGAGGAAGAAGAGGAGGAGATTGGATTTATACCCCGCCCTTCACTCAGTGTCTCAGAGCGACTTACAATCTCTTTCCCCTTCCCCTCCTCATAACAGACACCCTGTGAGGAGGTGGGGCTGAGAGAGCTCTCCTGAGAACTGCCCTTGAGAGAAGGCTCTCAAAGAACTTATGACTGACCCAAGGTCACACCAGCAGCTGCATCTGGAGGAGTGGGGAATCAAACCCGGTTCTCCCAGATTAGAGTCCGCGCTCTTAACCACTACACCAAACTGACTCTATTAAACTATATTAGATCTGGAAATTTGAGGAACAATGCATATAGTTTATAAGAGGGCAATATTTGTTCCCTTTTTCTGTAAAGCAGAAGCGTAAATAAGGACTGCAATAATATGGTGACTCTAGTTATTTTCTGGTTGATTGCTACCAAGGCGGAGTGGGGTTGTTACTATTACATATTGGGGTTTTATAAATACATAGTCATGGCCCTTAGAATAGCTACGTAACCCTCTATCCCTTACCAACTGTATAATAGTAGAAAAGAGTAAGAGTCCAGTAGCACCTTAAAGACTAACAAAGTTTGTGGTGGAGAATGAGCATCTGAAGCAATGAGCAGTGATTCACGAGCAATACTCCCTCTAAGCTGTGGAGTCTTGTGAGCAAAAATTCTACTTTGTGAGCTACTGGCATTAAAATTGCGAGCAAGCGATTTGGCTGCTGCATGAATTCGTTTGCTCTGGAGCCATCCTTCCCGAGCTTAGACAAAAATCTGTGAGCTGGAGGCTAAAAAACTGTGAGCTAGCTCACACTAACTCAGCTTAGAGGGAACACTGTTCGCAAGAACTCCTCCACTGCCACAAATGTTGTTAGTCTTTAAGGTGCTACTGGACTCTGGCACAGCTACTCCATCTTCAACCGTATAGTGTTCCTATCCTGCCATAAACACTGGGTTCAAGACGCATTGCTGTGAACAGCTCTACTTTATTTAGTGATTTCAGGAACAAGACAAATTAACCAGGGCAACAGCCCTGTTTATATAACATGCAAAAAACCTAAACCCAGACACACCCCACTCCCAACAATAGGCTATTTACATAACACCAGTTTCTCATTGGTCAGCGGCTTCTGCGGAGAGGGCTTCTTCCAGCACATCCTTGAACGCAGGGTGCCGCATGGCAATGAGCTGCTGTTGGATCTGCTCCTCCCAAAGTCTGCACATCAGCTAGGTGCGGAGCTCTTCCTCGAGGTTGTGGAAGTTGCAACGCCGGGCGGCATGCTGGAAAGCCGTCATGTAGGCCATGATTGACTCACCCGTTGCCTGGTTCCTCATGTAGAACGCATGGCGGGCCACCATGATGGATGGCATCAGAGCAAAGTGCTCCTGCAGCCGGTCTATAATCGTCTGGCATGGGGTGTTACGTAGCTCTGCAGGCGCTAGCAGGAAGCAGCTATCTTGAACATTGAGCGGCCACAGACCTGGAAGAAAGTGGTGTCAAATGCATCAAAGTGTCCTGGAGCGGCAGGGATGGTCCCGGTTGCGGTGCGAGTGGGACTGGAGCTCACTGTGCGGTGCAGATGGGCTCTAGGCTCACTCAACAGGATCTCATCCTTGTTGCCAGTGTTAAATACTGGGTTCAATACGCATTGCAGTGAACAGCTCTATTTCAGGAACAAGACGAAGACACCAGGGCAACAGCCCTGTTTAAGTAGCATGCAAACAACCACACCCAAACACACCCCACTCCCAAGGATGGGCTATTTACATAATATGTCTCTCACTGGTCACTTCCAGAATCCTGGTGGGCTATTGTTCTAGAGCGGCAAGCTCAGCCAGTTTGTGGTAGGTAGTCCTGGAATGTTCATACCACTATCATAGAGTCTCTATGGTATTACTGCATAACCATATAGAGCAAATCCATAGAGTGGCCTCTCCCTGGCCCCTTGCAAGCTATATTTACCGGAAGTGTAGATCGCAGTGCCTCAACTCTATGGTAACAGTCTTTGCTGTTAATGTAGAAACATCCTTTGGCAAAATTCGAGTCCCTCCTTTTCTCTGGCGCATGCTCTCCTCGCTGCTAGTTTCCCAACCAATAAGAACGCCGAAGTGGGTGGAGCCGCCCGCTACCTCGCCGGTGATTGGTGGCTTTTCCTCAACCAACAGGAGCGGGGGCTCCGTTGTGTCCTGTCTCGCGGGAAGCGCGCGCCGCCGCCGCAGCGTTCCCCGCCCCCGAAGCCTCGCGCCTTCAACCGCCCTTCTCTTCTCTCCCCTCCCCCTCGCATAATATCAGCGCTCGCGGCGTAGAGAAGGAGAGCGAGCGAGCGAGCAAGCAAGCGCGAGCTGGGGATGCTGGGCCCCCGCGAGGTGGTGACGCTTCAGTTAGGCCACTACGCGGGGAGCGTGGGCGCCCATTGGTGGGGGCTTCAGGTAAAAAAAAAAAAAAGGCCTGGGAAAGAGGGGAAGATGACGACGTGCGCGGAGCCTCTGACGGGAAAAAGAGAGGCGTGGCTGATCGCGTTTCAGCCACGCCCCCGTCGCCTATCGCTCTTGCTCTGTCATCCAATCAGAGGCTTCCCTCACCCGCGTCCCGTTTATGGTGTGAGGGAGGTGGCGGGTGTCTTCTGAGGGAAATTGTGAGGGGAGTTTTTAAAAAATAATTCTGTTATAATACGAGGGTTTTTTTTAAAAAAAATCATGTCTGTCCTATATCTTCTATAGACGCCGTTTGCAATGAAATTAAAGTTACAATAAAAGTTAAAGCGACAGAATAACAATGGAAAGCACACAGGCGCCTTCCCCCCAAAGCACTGAAATGTGCGAATTGAATGTACAAAACCAGAGCAGCCTCTTGGAGCCCTGCCTCTGGGAGAAAAGCAGGATGTAAATAATGACTTATTTATTTAGAAAACTTGTTACGCCACCTCTCCAGGAACCTGCCTGAGGTATCTCGCAAAATAAAAAACATTATATACGTATGTGTGTGTACATGTATATGTATATATGTGTGTGTGTATAAATACGTATATATATGCGCTGTGCTCTTAGTCCCATCAGCCTGGAGATTTGGGCGTGGAGCCTTGTGAAAACAGAAAGCAGTCAGTGGGAACACTGCCTTAGACTCTAATCTGGGAGAACCGGGTTTGATTCCCCACTCCTCCACTTGCACCTGCTGATGTGACCTTGGGTCAGTCACAGGCTCTGGCACAGCTGTCCTTGAGAAAGAGCAGTTTGTGCCAGAGACCTCTAAGCTGTGGGGTCTTGTGAGCAAAAATTCTACTTTGTGAGCAACTGGCATTAAAGTTCTGAGCGAGCGATTTGGCTGCTGCATCAGTTAGTTTGCTCTGGAGCCATCCCTCCTGAAAAGTACTCGGAAACGTGGAGTGATTTCAGCAAGAGTACTTTATTCAATCAGGAACAAGACAAAGTAAGGCCGGTATATATGCACAGAAACCCACCACCAAAACACACCCCTATTCACCCTATAGGTTATTTGCAGGAGCCGAGAGTCCCATAGGCTCTCGGCTTCGGACCTGGCCCTCTGATTGGTGCGGGCTAGGATCCACTTGGCTATTGTTCTAAATGTACGAAGCTTTAGGCTTGTGCTTGACCACATGGCCCAACAGTTGCGCACGTGGTAATGGCGGAGTACATTACACCTCCTGAGGTAAGACAAAAATGTGTGAGCCGGAGGCTAAAGAACTGTGAGCTAGCTCACACCAACTCAGCTTAGAGGGAACACTGGTCAGAGTTCTCTCAGCCCCGCCCACCTCACAGGGTGTCTGTTGTGAGGAGGGGAAGGGAAAGGAGTTTGTAAGCCGCTCTGAGACTCCCAAGTGAAGGGCGGGGTAGAAATCCAATCTCTTCTTCTTCTTCTTCACCCACCAAAGGAGCCATTTCCTCCAGAGGGATTGATCTCTTTAGTCTGCAGAAAAGTCGTAAATTCTGTGAGAACTCCAGGCCTCTCCTGGAGGATGGCAACCCTAGCCGCAAGTAGGGTTGTCAACTCTGGGTTGAGAGATTCCTGGAGATTTGGGGATAAAGCCTGGGAAGGGCTGGGTTTGGGGACGGGGGGAGGATCTCAGTCAGTCGGGTTGCCAGCTCCAGGTTGGGAAAGAACGGGACATTTTGGGAGTGGACCCCGAGGAGGGGAGAAAGCCATAGAACACCTTCCAAAGCTGCCATTTTCTCCAGGTGAACTGATTTTTGTCATCTGGAGGCCATTTGTGGTTCCGGGAGGTCTCCAGCCACCACCTGGAGACTGGCAACCAATGCTCCCTCTGAGTTGTGGAGTCTTGTGAGCAAAGATTCTACTTTGTGAGCTCCTGGCATTAAAGTTGTGAGCGAGCCATTTGGCTACTGCATAAATCAGTTCGGTGTGGAGCCCTCCTTCCTGAGCTAAGACAAAAGTGTGCGAGCTGGAGGCTAAAAAAACTGAGCTAGCTCACCCTAACTCAGCTTAGAGGGAACACTGCTGGCAACCCAAGCTATTGAGGAGTTTGTGCCTGTTGTAAGCTGTTGGTCTTCAAGGTAGTAAACAGAATGTGGAGATCTGGTGATTATTAGGATTTTCAAGGTCATATTTTGACTGCCCAGTGGGCAAAGGCTTGAGTACTGGTGGGTCGGGGACTACAGCACGGGTTATCAGGGCTTGGGTCTTCATTCTAGTACTTTAAAAAATACTATTCCACTTCCAGTTTAAAATCCTTCCTTTACCTGGCAAAGTATCTGATACAAATTCTGAGATCACTTCTGCTAAAAAAAAAATGCTGAATGGCCTACAGCCATTCTTTTATATGGCATCTTATATATTCCTTATATATGGGAATCCGTTTTCATTCTTCTCCATCCATCCCAGGAAGCGTCGTTTTGCTTCGATCCTGCAGACAAGCAATCGGATGAAGGGATACGTCATGATGTGCTCTCCCGAACAGGGAAAACCCTCCAGGGGCAGGAGACGTACACGCCCCGCCTCATTGCCGTGGACCTCAAAGGTGGGATTGGAGGAATGCAGTGTTCAGATATGTTGAAGTTTGCTGGGAATGAGGAGGAGACTCCCCCGTTTCTGTTTATGCCTTCCCTGCCTCACAAGTTGCAGACCTCAGGCCGAAAGCAGGGTAATGTGAGGATCCCCACCCCCAGTGCATATTTCCTTGCTGAGGAGCAAGATGCACACAGTTATTCATCCTTTTGGATGCGAAGTCTTGCAAACTTTCTGTGGCTGGATGGGGAGAAACCACCCGTTTGCATATGGGACTGCTGATTGGAACTGTACACTCTAAGTCCTCCAGCGCAGGCAGCCTCTGGGATGTATCCCAGTAAAACAGCTTGCATTGAATGAGAGCTTGCATTGAAACGATGATTGAGTGGTGACACGATAAGAGGTTTACAAAATTATGCATGTTTTTTTAGAGAAGGGAGGGAAAGAAGTATTTTTCTCCCTTTCTCACAATACAAGAACTCGTGGGCACTCAATGAAATGAATGAGCAGTAGGCTTAGAACAGATAAAAGGAAGGATTTCTTCACCCAAGGAGTAATTCACACATGGAATTCACTACCACAGGAAGTGGTAGCGGCTACAAGCGTAGACAGCTTCGAGAGGGGGTTGGATAAACATCTGGAGCAAAGGTCCATCAGTGGCTGTTAGCCACAAGGTATAGACGGAACACTCTGTCTGGGGCAAGTGATGCTCTGTATTCTTGGTGCTTGGGGGGCAACAGTGGGAGGGCTTCTGGTGTCCTGGCCTCACGGGTGGACCTCCTGATGGCACCTGGGTTTTGGCCACTGTGTGACACAGAGTGTTGGACCAGGTGGGCCATTGGCCTGATCCAACATGGCTTCACTTGTGTTCTTATTGCTCACAGCTGCTGTTCTCTTCTGGGGTGTCTGATGATGTGGGTTGGTGGCTGGGCCGTGGCTGTCAATGTGATGACCTGTTTTGCTTCTGTGCAGGGAGCCTGAGCTCTTTGAAACAGGAGGGATGCTTGTACCAGGATCGGAAAGCAAACACACCTGTGGCATGGTGAGTTTTTTATTCCCACTGCTTGTAAACCGGGAGCTGGTTTTCACACACCGTGAGCAGCTGTCTGGGGTTCTTAGCTAACAGATGCTGCAGAGACTGACTCACGTACTCATGAACATTCAGGCCCATGAGCGAGCGTAGAATGCTGACTCTGATGCAGAATGCTGGTCGTCTCAAGGTTTGGGTTTCAGCTGAAATAAAAGGTTTCTGACATCCTACCTGGCATCCAGCGGGGAGGGAGAGGCTGTATGTCTGGGAGCTTCGTGCCGCAATGACGTCACCCGGAAGTTACGTCATCACGCCAGGCACGTTGTTGAGGGACGCTTTTCAGATCAGTGGTGTTTCAAGATCCGTAATATATTCAAAACTAAAGTGAAAGCCAGTCAAAAATACAATCACAAAAATACCGCGGTCTTAAGAACTAATGAACAAGGAGCCAAAACGTAATCCTTTTCGCAAGAAGCAATCTTTACAAGGGCCTGCGAGTTACAATAGCGGCCTAAAACGAAGCAGGGTTGGCTGTGTTCAGTACTTGGATAGGAGACAAATCAAGAAAGGCTGGGATCGCTATGCAGATCTCGCCTTGAAAACCCCAAAGTCCTACATTCACTATGAATCAGTTGCGACTCAATGGCACACAAGTATTATTATTACAAGTTAAAATATAAAGATGAACTCACACATAACTTGGCCAAAGGACTGATAAGTAAAGAAAACTGTAGAAGATTTATCATCTCCAAGCATGTAGTAGGCTTGCTAGCTGTGAGAAACCACAGCGAACATCGTCGCTGCTTTAACCTGAGGCCAGCAAAAATGAAAGTGCTGACCAAACACGCGTTCTGAATTTCTGCTGGTACTTCCAGTGCAGTCAGTAATACTGTGACAAGCAGTTGTATGTGGGATGTTAATAGAGTCTCTAAAAACGGGCGCTGAGGCCAAGGAAGCATATGACTTACGACTGAGAAAACCAAAGTAACTCCTTAAAATATTAGAAGTCCTGCAAACAGCGATGATGATGAAAGAACTCTGAACGCACGTAGAAGAAGAAAAAGAGACTATTATTACTAATATGAACTCACTAATTTCTGAATACATTGACTCAAACGAAAAGTTTTTTGTTTTAAATACTAACTGATTAGAACCCTCTCTCTTGGGGTTTTAGTTATAGTGTGGGTTTTTATTTACTGTCCTTTTTTTCCTGGGGTAACTTTCCCTCCCTTTTTTCTTTTCTGTAGTGTATAGGTGTAACAAAAAAGTAATAAAGCTACCCTGTTTCAGGGGATTAAAAAAAAAAAAAAAACCAACTGCCCTGAGCCCGTTTGGGGAGGGCGGAATAAAAATCCCATAAATAAATAAACCCCGTAGGGTGGTGCATGGTGTATAGTAGTCTTTAGAATGGCTCTTTGCATTAAAATGTACTTTCGTCGTTGGCTGGGTTGAACCCCTGATGTGTGGCGCATTCCGCAGCCAAGAACTGAACTTCTAGCATGTGTCCCTCTTGCAGAGAGTGTTGAATTCTTGCCAGAGTCCCAGCACATTGTTGTTAGCAGAACTGCTTTATCTACAACAGCTGGCAGACTAAATTTATATTCGGGTTCCTGCCTTTGTATACTGAAGTCCAATCCACCCCAAGGATTTTACCAGTGAGAGAGACAAGACTGGTGTGTTCCAAAACAATTTGTCTTTTACTTAAGAATGTATAAAATCACATTCACACAAAATCAGATTCACCCATACCATCAGTCAAGTTCCTCAGGAATGCAGAATTAAAATAGTCACTATAGAAATCACAGGTAGGGCTATGGGTAGCAATACTCATCTGTCCTGAAGCTTGTCCTTCTCAATGAAGAATAGAGGGATCAGAAAATATTCTAGGGAGATTTAACACACAGCTAGAAACCAGCCAGCGTGTGTGGACCTCGTGGCTGCAGACCAAGAGATTAAGTAGGAACAAAGGATTTTTGGATAGGAAGCTGGGCTTGAGAGGGGTTTCAAGCAGACAGAGGGCGTAGGTGGGGGTAGGCGGCTAGCAAATGCTAAGCAGCTGGACCTCACCTTTTATAGGTGAATCCTTTAGTGGGTGGCATCTATGCCATCATCTAGATCCACCTACCTGCTAGTCCGTGTAGTAAGGGGTTGCCATCTAAAAGGGTTTGGCCAATATTGAAACTCTAGACTCTAACTCAAGAGATGGCATCTAGTGAGGTGTGAAAGCTTGGTGTCAAGATGCCCATTGAAGTGCAGATGAATCTTGCCCGTTCCCAGGTAATCAAAGCCCATCTAACAGGAAATGGCCATTCAGATGTAGAGCTGAGATGTGTATACGTGTGCTTTCAACAGTTCATCAATGGAGGCTGATTTCAAACAAGTTGTTGTTTGGCTGGCAATAATGGCGATGCTTCTTCTTCCCCTCAGGCAGCAGCTGTGTATTTGAAACCTCATTAACATGTAAGGCTTAGAGCAGGTCACTATCTATGTGTATCTCACAACAAGTGACTTGTACAGTGTTCCTTGAGCCTATGGGTGTATGTATGCACAGGCCATGTGGTGTTGGCAGCAAATATAAATCCATAAAACAATATTAGCCTCAATTCTCAACACTGTTACGTGGTAAAAATAGTTTCACTTTGAGAGAGCTAGCGTGGTGTGGTGGGTGGTTAAGAGTGGTGTACTCTAATCCAGAGAACCGAGTTAAATTCCCCACTTCTCCACATGCAGCCAGCTGGTGACCTTGGGCCAGTCCCGGTTCTCTCAGAACTCTCTCAGTCTCACCTGCCTCACAGGGTGCATGTTATGGGGAGAGGAAGGGAACGCCACTTTGAGACACATGAGGCCTGCTGGGTGACCTTGGACCAGTCCCAGTTCTCTTACTCAGCCCCACCTACCTCACAAGGTGCCTGTTGTGGGGAGAGGAAGGGAAGGTGATTGTAAGCCACTTTGAGACACATGAGGCCTGCTGGGTGACCTTGGGCCAGTCCCAGTTCTCTCACTCAGCCCCACCCACCTCACAGGGTGCCTGTTGTGGGGAGAGGAAGGGATGGCGATTGTAAGCTGCTCTGAGACTCCTTCAGATAGTGAAGAGTGGGGTATAAAAACCAACTCTTCTTCTTCTTCTCAGGAAGGGGAATCTGATGACACACCAAGAAGAGTCCTCCCCTAAGAACCCCTTCCTGCAAGGCCTCGACAGATCTGCGGTAAGATCCCAGGGTCCCCACTGACTTGCATCTCTTGCTGCCGGTCGTCTTGCTGGGCTCGTCTTCGGACGGTCTGTTAAATGGCAAGATGATAAGAAGCCATGGAGATGAAAGCTGAGAAGGCAGCACCAGGCAGTGTCTCCGGTTGCCGATCACATCGATTGATTGTGCTTATCCAGCACCTTTCCGTAAAAGAAAGCACTCAAAGTGATGTGTGATCTAAACCGCAAACACATGCTCCAGGGTCCCAAAACCATTGCTTGCCGTAGCATTCGTCTCCGTGCTGAAGAACGGCTGTAAGTATGCTTTCCCGCCTAGTCTTTTTTTGCACTGTTCCGTCAGTTACGTTTTACGCCTTAAGAACACAAGAAGAGCCCTGCTGGATCAGATCAGTGATCCAATTAGTGGCCAGCCAGTTCCTCTGGACAGCCAACAACGAGGCATGGAGGCCAAGGCCTTCCCCTTCTCCTCATAAGAACATCAGAAGAGCCCTGCTGGATCAGATCAGTGATCCAATTAGTGGCCAGCCAGTTCCTCTGGACAGCCAACAACGAGGCATGGAGGCCAAGGCCTTCCCCTTCTCCTCATAAGAACATCAGAAGAGCCCTGCTGGATCAGATCAGTGATCCAATTAGTGGCCAGCCAGTTCCTCTGGACAGCCAACAACGAGGCATGGAGGCCAAGGCCTTCCCCTTCTCCTCATAAGAACATCAGAAGAGCCCTGCTGGATCAGATCAGTGATCCAATTAGTGGCCAGCCAGTTCCTCTGGACAGCCAACAACGAGGCATGGAGGCCAAGGCCTTCCCCTTCTCCTCATAAGAACATCAGAAGAGCCCTGCTGGATCAGACCAGTGAGTGACCATTTAGTCCAGCATCCCATCTATGGTTGCCATGCCATCAGGGGGATTTGGGGGCGTCCTGGGATGTCACCAACGCAATGACATCACCTGGAAGTGATGTCGTCACTTCGGCGACACTCTGGTTTAAGGGCAAATCTATGGTTTTAGGCAAAATTTACCATAGAGTTTTGCCCTCAAAGCAGAGCATCGCATGCGACATCCCTGACATGATGACATTACTTCCGGGGGACATCATCGGGGACATCACACCTGGATGTGGCTGTTTGGGGGTGGGTTTTCCCCTGCTTGCCTGCAGCGGGCAAAAGCCCCAAAAAGCGGGGGAACCCCCACTACGACCTGGGGACTGGCAACCCTAATCCCATCTCACACGGTGGCCAGCCATTTCCTCTGGAGGGCCAACAACAGGGCATAAAGACCAAGGCCTTCCTGTAATGCTGCATTGGGATTCAAAGGCAGAAGTCTGTTGCATCAGCTCCTGCACAATCCTTTTATCGGGAGGTGCCAGGGATTGAACCTGGGACCTTCCGCATGCCAAGCAGATGGTCTGCCACTGAGCCACGGGCCCCTCCCCGAGGCGGCCACTTTCCTTCCTTGCATTATGTGGATCGTGGCTTCAGGTTACACCTTTCAGGTGTTTTAGAACTTCTGAAGTCTTAGTAGTGAGTAACTTTTAAAAAGCGGTAACACAGCTTTATGCATTTTAACACAGAAAAGAGCAAGAGTCCAGTAGCACCTTAAAGACTAACAAAATTTGTGGCGGGTTGGGAGCTTTCATGAGTCACTGTTCTGAAGAAGTGAGCCGTGACTCATGAAAGCTCCTACCCTGACACACATTTTGTTAGTCTTTAAGGTGCTCCTGGACTCTTATTCTTTTCTGCTGCTACAGACAGACTGACATGGCTACCCATCTTTTTTTTAAATTAAGTACATTGAAATAACATTACATTCGTACAATTATAGTGGATGAAGCCATCAGTCTTAACATATTCACCACTAAACTTACAGAGTGTTTCTGATAACTAACGGCTAAATTTAAAAAAGAGGACCATTAAAATCCATTAAGATAGTGTTCCTGAAGCTAGAGAGGCTTTGGTCATTGGGTGAAATTCTCAGCATGGCTACCCATCTTGAACTGTCTCCTTGGAAAGCATGTTAACATAGGTGTCCATGATTAAAAGCATCTGCATATTTGATTAAATTGTTCAAGGCCGCTTTGGTGAATGAACTCTGTGGCATAACACTAGCCATATTTTCAAACAGGATCATTTCCCTACTGTCCTCTCTTTTACAGGTAAATCAAAGCCTGAGGCTAACCTCTTTCTCTCATTCATTCTGTTTCAGAGCCACAAACCCTCCAATAGTGGTTTTGTTCTCAGGACTCCCCATGGTAGTAAAGGTGTGTGTCTGCTTTGCATGTGTGGCTGCTTGTCGGGGTACAATGGAGGGGGAGGGGGAGGGCAGGCAGGGTGGATCCATTTACAGAGGACATTTTGGGGAAGTTTTCTGCTCCATCCACCTCATGGCTGCTGCACTCCTTTACCCAGACAGGACTTCACCCCTCGAGAGACAGGGTGAGGCTTCAAAGGCACCTAACGTGGAGCGTACAATGCACGTTTGGTCAGACTTCCTTCGGACGCACCTGCATCCTCGTAGCATCTTAACGATCCATCAGTACGATCACGACGGGTAAGGAGTTTTTCCTCTACGTGCCGTGCAGCCTTTCCCATCAACCAGTTGCCTAAAATTCTGAGCCCCATTGAAACACAGAAGAAGAGCTGGATTTCTACCCCGCCCTTCACTCGGAGTCTCAGAGCAGCTTACAATCGCCTTTCCCTTCCCCTTCTCACAACAGACACCCCCTGTGATGTAGGGGGGGCTGAGAGAGCTGCTCTTGAGAGAACAGCTCTGAGAGAACTGTAGCTTGCCCAAGGTCACCCAGCTGGCTACATGTGGAGGAGTGGGGAATCAAACCTGGTTCTCCAAATTAGAATCGGCCGCTCTTAATCACTACACCAAATCAGCCTCTTAACCACTCCACCATACCAGTCAGTCCCTCCTGTTCCAGAAGAGGGCCTTCAGAATTACCTTGCCGATTTGTTTCAGGGAATCCAACCGTCTGGAAGCCTTTGGACAGGGAGAAAAGCTCCTGCAAGACGCCACGTACCTCGAGGAGCTGGAAGACAGGCTCCACTTCTACGTGGAAGAATGTGACTATCTGCAGGTGCACATTGCCACAGCTGCCCGTGGGGCCTTCGTTAGGCCAGGGCCTCTGGGAAGGGCGGCCACGCTGTGTGGGTGGCCAAGGGAGGGGAGGAAAGCAGGCCCGAGTTCCCTGCCAGGGGCGGCTGCATAGCATCCCTCTGTGATCTGCAGATTTTCCTGTGTGGTTCTTACATGCGGCATCTGGGTTTGTCCCTCATTGAGAACAGGGATGGCCCACTTTTTCGGCCCCCAAAGCTTTAGTCCACCTAGCCAAGCTGTTCAGGAGCCAGCCTCTCCACCACGGGCACTCTGCTGACCTCCTCCTTGCCCTAGACCTTGCCCAGGCCAGGGTGATCCAGGCCGAAGACTCCTCTCTGCACTGAAGGAGAGGATGCGGCAGAAGATAGCAGACCGTTGAACAGCTGTATCCTTTAGGCAGTTTCTCCTAACATTTAGCCAAAACTACATGGAGGAAGAGGTTAGAAGAAGAGGAGGAGATTGGATTTATACCCGGCCCTTCACTACCCGAGGGAGTCTCAGAGCGGCTTACAGACTCCTTTCCCCTCCCCTCCCCACAACAGACACCCTGTGAGCAATATTCCCTCTAAGCCGTGGAGTCTTGTGAGCAAAAAATCTACTTTGTGAGCTACTGGCATTAAAGTTGTGAGTGAGCGATTTGGCTGCTGCATAAACTAGTTTGCTCTGGAGCCCTCCTTCCTGAGCGAAGACAAAACTGTGTGAGCCGGAGGCTAAAAACCTGTGAGCTAGCTCACACTAACTCAGCTTAGAGGAAACACTGGTCACCCTGTGAGGCAAGTGGGGCTGAGAGAGCTCTTTCGAGAACTGCTTGTGAGAGAACAGCTCTGAGAGAACTTGTGACTGATCCAAGGTCACACCTTGGGGGAATCAAACCTGGTTCTCCCAAATTAGAGTCTGTGCTCTTAAGCACTACATCAAAATGGTTAGAGATTGGATAAACAGTAGAAAACCACTGTCTAATGCTCAGAACTGGTTCTCCTGCACGTGGAGATCTTTAAGGAGAGACGGGGACGGTGATCCCTCAGGGATAACACCCACCAAGGGAAGACCATCAACAATTCACAAGTATATATGATCAAAACTGTATATTACATTCATTAAAGTTCAAGGATGGGTTCGTGGTCGTAACCCAACAGAAAGTATGAACACATCTCCAACAGATTGCTCATGAGAATTAAGCATTATTTACCAAAAGAATGTGTTCAAAACCAACAGTAGGCTCTTCTGTGATTCCGTACATAAATAGTGCCCATAGACCTCCAAACAGAAAGCAACTGCGTCAGAAGATGCCCACTGTGGAAACAATAACAGGCATATGCAGGGGTCGTTTCGTAGAAAAAGAGCTAGGGGCACTCATTAGCATAACTCATTAGCATATGCCACACCCCCTGACATCAGGGGCCCGGCGGTGGACCTGCAAGGCCGGCGTGAGTGCAAGGAAGCCCCACCAAGGCCCTCCCTGGCCCCAGGCAGGCAGGGGTGGGGAGAGGCAGGGAGGAAGCAACTTCCCCTCCCTCTTCTCCTGCCTCCTCCTGGCTGAATGAGGGCCGGAAGCGGGGGGCGGGGCTTCGTCATGTGCCCCGCCCCCCTGCACCTCACCCCGGGGAACCACGATCCCCCCCGAAATGACCTCTGGGCATATGTCTCTCCCAGGTATAAATCAAGACATTTCAGTGGTCTGGTGAAACAGAACCCAATTTCCAAAATAACATAGGCACAGCTGAAGTTGACTGGACCAGTATTGTGTCTGGGGCAGGGATTCTCTGTATTCTTGGTGCTTGGGGTGCAAGAGTGGGAGGATCTTCTGGAGTTCTGGCCCCGCTAGTGGACCTCCTGATGGCCCCTGGGTTTTGGCCACTGTGTGACCCAGAGTGTTGAACTGGATGGGCCATTGGCCTGATCCAACATGGCTTATGTTCTTCTATGGAGCAGAGGTCCATCAGTGGCTATTAGCTGCAGGGTACAGATGGAACACTCTGTCTGGGGCAACAGTGGGAGGGCTTCTGGTGTCCTGGCCCCGCTGATGGACCTCCTGATGGCACCTGGGCTTTGGCCACTGTGTGACCCAGAGTGTTGGACTGGCTGGGCCGTTGGCCTGATCCATCATGTCTTCCCTTATGTTCTTATCCTTCTCTCCCAACTCCCCTTCTTTCCCCTCACCCCAGGGCTTAATAGGGACATAGGATTCCTATCTCACTCCAGTTGCTAATTTTCTGCCCCTGAGCATTTCTCCCCTGCTCTAATAAAGCGGATTACATTTTGCACTGCACCTCTGCCTCCTGACTCCCTTCTTCACAACACCCCTCCCACCTTCAGACTAGGACGGAAGGACTCCAGGATCTCCATTCCTACTCCTGTCTGATGAAGGGAGCTTTGACTCTTGAGAACACGAACCCTGGAAATCTTGTTGGTCGTTAAGGTGCTACTGGACTCCAGTCTAGCGGTTCTACAGCAAACCAACAAGGCGACGCTCTGAAAAAACCTCTGCCCGTTTCTCTCTCTTCACAGGGGTTCCAGGTCCTCTGCGACTTGCACAACGGGTTTTCGGGGGTGGGGGCAAAGGTCACGGAGCTGCTGCAAGACGAATACCCAGGGAAGGGAATCCTGACGTGGGGGCTGACTCCAGTGCTTAGCACACTTGTAAGTACGACTCTGGTCTCTCTCGCTTCCCCGCCCAAGTAGTGAAAGCTGGTGGGTAACAGTTCTAACCGGGGGTGGGGGTGAGGGGCAGTACCGTGTACCGGACAGTATGGGGCTGGCAAGACCTGGGTTTCAATCCCCCTCTCTGCTTTGGACAACTCACTCTTGTACGCTCTGCGACAGAGCTGTTGGGAGGACATCTGCCTGTGTCAAGATCCCAGACTTCTGGGAGAGGGGATGCAAGGGCAATAATGAAAAGAAAGGCTGCCCTTGGGAGGGGAGGGGGGGGATACCAGTGCAGATGAAACGAATGGCTCCAGCTGTTAGAAGATAACCTTCTTGCATCCCGGCATTGATTCCAGCATGGCAGCCTGCTGTAGAAACAGAAGCATGAGAGCTGCAGCGTGAGGTGGCCACCTTCAGGTAGCTGTTCATGTGGATGCTGTGTAGGCTGGGTGCTGTGTGCCTCGTCACCAGTGCACAGAGCTCCCTGCTTCTTTCACCTGTGGTCACTTCCCTGAATAGACCTCCCCCCCTGTGGATGCTTTCCTGCCATTTGCAAAGGTCACAGGCCAATTTGGTGTAGTGGTTAGGAGCGCAGACTCTAATCTGGGAGAACTGGGTTTGATTCCCCGCTCCTCCACATGTAGCCAGCTGGGTAACCTTGAGTCAGTCACAAGTTCTCTCAGAGCTGTTCTCTCACGAGCAGTCCTCGAAAGAGCTCTCTCAGCCCCACCTACCTCACAGGGTGTCTGTTGTGGGGAGGGGAAGGGAAGGGGATTGTAAGCCACCCTGAGACTGAGTGAAGGCGGGGTATAAATCCAATCTCTTCTTCTTGTCTGCAGTTCGGAGTGACTGGAGATGCTTTAAGGGAGGCGAACGTCTGTGGGTGTGACCGAACAGGCCTGCTGCTGTTTTTCCAGCTTCTCCTTGAATAGCGCTTCTAACCAGTTTCCTTCCCTCTCGCAGAATCCACACCTGAGCCTCTACAGGCTCATGAACACCATCCTGGGGTTGGTCCACCTTTCCGATCACAGCTCACTCTTCTGCCCCTTGTCACTGAATGGGAGCCTGGGGCTCAGACCGGAGCCCCCCATCGCACTTCCGTATGTGCAGTACAATGTGAGTGCGTCCATGGAAACCTTTGGGCTACACAGTGAGAAGGGGGGGAGGGATGGGTGCCCACCCAATATGTGCTGAGGGCAGGACTTTGCGTGTCTTGTATGGAGCCTCCCCTGCTCCCATCCCAGATTCCTCCGTGTAGCTTCACATCCTCCTGATAAAAGAGGGCAATATGCATTCCATATATTATCATGGGACGTTATCAATCGTATAACAAGGTTTTCAAGTCTTGCCCATTGCTTATCGTTCCCTGATGCCTATATCACTGTGATCCCTAAACCCAACAAAGACTATACTTAGGAGTGCAGATTTTTGGCCTGCTTCTTTGACGACTGTGGATGCAAAGATGTGAGCTGCTGTTCTTGCTGATGGACTCTAAAAGACCTGGTAGGATTTATACAGGGTAGACGAGGCTCTGGTAATCTTGGGCTGGTCACTGATCAGATTGCTTTAAACAGCAGGAGATCTGATCGAATTCCCCGTTCTTTCACTTGATGCTGAAAAAGCTTTTCATAAAATATATTGAAATTTTATCTTTGCCGGGTTGACTAAATTCGGTTTTACACACACATTTTCGAAGTAGTTTATAATTCCTTATTCATCTCCCATGTCCATATCTTCTTGGGGAAGGACTGTGGCTCAGGGGCAGAGCCTCTGCTTGGCATGCAGAAGGTCCCAGGTTCAGTCCCTGGCATCTCCAGCTAAAAGGACCAGGCAGGAGGTGATGGGAAAGACCTCTGCCTGAGACCCTGGAGAGTAGACAGCACTAACCTAGATGGACCGAAGGTCTGATTCAGTATAAGGCAGCTTCCCATGTGTTCTGCACCGTTGCGAGGGGTACTAGACAGGGTTGCCCTCTTTCTCCTCTTAGTTTCGATTTATGTCTGGAACATCTCTGGTTTCTGTGCCCCACAGAAAACCCTTCTTTCTAGAATATTGTCTGCTTGGGAGTAGGAGTCTCTCTTCAGAAAAGAAACAACATTTGATCTTGCTTTCATCACCCCCGGCAGGCCTCTCTGGACTACCACACCAGCGCTATCCTCGCAACGGCCCTGGACACGTGCACGGTCCCTTACCGACTCCAGTCCTCGGCTCTCTCCATGGTCCACCTCGCAGAAGCCCTGAATTTCTCAGGGAGGAAGGTACAGTCTGGCTCCCTTTTCTCTAACCAGCCTCCACCCACACAAGGAGGAAGAGACTGAGGCTGGAGAGGCCAGAAGCTTCAATCAGGGCTCAAAAGAACACAAGAGAAGCCAATGTTGGAAGAGGCCAGTGGCCCATCCAGTCAGACACTCAGTGTCACAGTGGCCAAAAATACCAGGGGCCATCAGGAGGTCCACCAGTGGGGCCAGGACACTAGAAGCCCTCCCACTGTTGCCCCCCCCAGCACCAAGAATACAGAGCATCACTTGCCCCAGACGGAGTGTTCTCTCTATACCTCGTGGCTAACAGCCACTGAGGGACCTCTGCGCCATATGTTTATTTGATTCCCCCTTGAAGCCGTCCATGTTCGTAGCCGCCACCACCACCTCCTGTGGCAGTGAATTCCGTGTATGTGAAAAAGGCTCAATGCGCACGTTCATTTACTAGGTTCTGAAAATGCTCCCGCTCTGGTTTCTCTAGATGCATGAATGGGTTGGCAAGTCCCACTCTTTTAAAAACTTGGGGCTTTTTGTCCGCTTTCTTTGCGTACTGCAAAAGCACCCAAGGCTTTATTCCATTTTAAAGTAACGTCAGCAGAGGCCTCTGTCTCTTCCCTCCCTCCGAGCCGGCAGATGGAAGGGCCACTGCAGGGGACTGCTCTTCTTGGAGTAAGAAGCCAAATGGCCATTGGGAGGCATTGCTGTGCATCTCCCCCCCCCCCCCCAAATTACAAACAAATCTGGTTGCTCAACTGTGGCCCATTTGTGAAAGCACTCTTCCTTCGTTGTGGGCCATCGCTCATTATTGCGTTTTGACCCAAAACAACACTTCCTTTTGAGATACAATTTTGCATCAGGCTTATGGTCCAGCTCGGACGGATCCGTGTGCTGGAAGGCCGGATCCTTTCAGGTCCCGCCTCTCAGAGTAAACATTGTACACCAGATTGGGGCCCTGGCTCAGAGGAAGAGCATCTGCTTGGCACACAGAAGGTCCCAGGTTCAATCCCTAGCGTCTCCTGTTAAAACATCTGGCAGGAGGTGATGGGGAAAGACCTCTGCCTGAGACCCCGGAGAGCCGCCACCAGTCTGAGTAGACCATACTGACCTTGATGGACCAAGGGTCTGATTCAGTAGAAGGCCGCTTCATGTGTTCAGGATCCCTCGAGGAAACACAAACCACTCCCTTATCCCCGTTTCTGTTCCAGGTCGCATCTGCAGTAGCTGCGGTGCCTTTTCCCGCAGACCCGTCCCAGTCCCTGCCCGATGCTTTGTGTGCCCACCAGTCGGCCATGCCCTGGAGCCCGCTCTCTTCCTGTGGGGAGCAAGGGGACAGCCGCTGTTTCGCTCAGTCTGTTGTGCTGCGGGGGATTGCCAAAGAACGCCTGGTCAGGTAGGAGGCGGAGATGGGCTGCCGAATTTTGCATTTCCAAATCTCTGGTCTAGATCAGCCAATGCAGGGCGTGGAGGGTATATTCTTCCTGCTCTGGTTCATCTGCCTTTGGGGCGGCACTTCCGGAATCGGGGCGGTTCTAAGGGAAACGGATTTTGGTCGTAAAGTGGGAGTCCGGACTGGTCACTCCAACTCCTTAGGAGAAACGGTCTCAAAACCTGACCCAGTCTCACTGAGAGGGTCAGCCGGGCTGTATCTGGGTTGTGCACTGACCCAGATGGCCCAGGAGAGCCCGATCTCCTCAGATCTCAGAAGCTAAGCAGGGTCAGCCCTGGCTAGTATTTGGATGGGAGACCTCCAAGGAAGTCCAAGGTCTCTACGCAGAGGCAGGCAGTGCCAGACCACCTCTGAACATCTCTTGCCTTGAAAACTGCACAGTGGGGGTAAGGCCCGGGGGCCGGAACCGGCCTGTCCTGGGCTCTTATCTGGCCTGCGAGCAACTGGTCATTACCCTTTTTTGCCAGATGAGAGGCTGTGCAGTATGTCCCCCCAGTGCTAATCTGTAACGGGCAGTGAAAGTAGGAGGGCAGGCATCAGGGGAGATACTACAAGGAAGGACTGTAAGAGTGTCAACGTGTTAAGCACATTTTTCTTTTTGAGTAAAAAATAATATTGCTAATTGGGTTTGCCCTGTGCCCCTTTAAAAAATTTGTTCTCTCCGGTACCTGGTGTTATCTTTATGGCACACGTGGCCCAGCCCAACGAAGTGACATTTATGTCAGATCCGGCCCTCGTAACAAATGAGTTCGGCAAACCCATCTCTGAACATCTTGCCTTGAAAACCCTACCGCAGGGGTGTCAAACGTAAGGCCCGCGGGCTGGAACTGGCCTGTCCGAGGCTCTTATCTGGCCCACGAGCAACTGGTCATCACCTTTATTGCCAGATGACAAGAGGCTGTGCATTGTGTCCCTCAGGTGCTAATCTGCAATCTGCCCTACCAGATCACCATAAATCAGCTGTGACTGGATGGCCCTTTTCACCACCACCCCCAATCTGGACTGTACCACTGCAGAATGCAGGTGATTCACGCAAAGGAACAGTCCCTTGTACTTCCTGATAGAGGAACCAGTATGTCAGCCAGAAGGTTAACCTATTACGCCCAAACTGGAGTGGAGTCTTTTCTGGTGGCCTTTACACTCAGCCAGACACTCCAAGGAAAAGGTCTTGACTTGCTAAAGCCTTTCAGCTCCCAGGAGAGACCAAAAGCTTGAAATGTCTAAGGTCAGGTCACTGCTGCCAGTCACCAGGACTGGACAGGCACGTAGCCCACCTGCCATTCCAAACAGAGCCCCAACCCAGGCCGGAGTGTCGGTATTCATTCCTCCTCGAGCCCATTTAGAGATCCAGGCCACCCCCGACAGATAAAACCACTGGGGGAGTTGCGGCTCCGAGAGGAACAAACGTCTCTCCACTCTTCTGCTCCAGCCCCCTTCTCGTTTCTCTTTCAGTAAACCCCCTCCAGGTTGTGAGCCCAAGTCCATCCTCCACATGTGCGAGACGGGAGAGGAGGTGCTGGCCCGCTACTTGTACACCACGTGCCCCAGCACCCTCAGGTTGGTGACGCTGGCGGAGGGGGAAACGGGGAAGGAGCAGCCCTCCTCCGGCCGCTGACGCCGCGTCTGTTTTTGCTCAGCAGCACCGTGCACCTACTGCCAGGGCCTTGCCAGCTGCGGCCCCCGTATCCCCAGTACTTCTCCCCTCGGCTGGACAAGCAGGGATTCCTCTTGGACGCCCCCTCAAGGGCCCCAGCAAGTAAGTTGTCTCGGGGCGAATATAGGGGGCGGGGGCGGCACCCTCTGTGTCTGCAGCACCAGTGCTCCCGCTAAGCTGTGGAGTCTTGTGAGCAGAAGTTCTACTTTGTGAGCCACTGGCATTAAAGTTGTGAGCGAGCGATTTGGCTGCTGCATCAGTTAATTTGCTCCGGAGCCATCCTGCCTGAGCCAAGACAAGAATGTGTGAGCCGGAGGCTAAAAAACTGTGAACCAGGTCACACTAACTCAGCTTAGAGGGAACACTTGTCTGCACAAGGCCATGCTGCTGCTGCTGCCCCCACCCCTTTAGAATTGGGGGGAGGGGAGGAAGGGGGCAGCTGCACGCTGGGCAGGTTAACCAGGCCAAGATGGGGGGGGAGCCCTGGAGCACGAGCCCACCCCCCCAAAAAAAGACCACTCCGTTAATAGACCCTGGGGTCGTTTTCAGCCAACTGATTGCTAATCTCTGTTTTGTAACATTAAATGGTAATCTAGAGGTGAGACAAATAGCGGGAATTCACTTGTTATAACCAGAAAGGGCGCAAGTGGGGATCGACTGCAGGTTAATGTCAGTGACTTTTGGCCAGAGCCAAATACCAAAGTGGTGCTTTCACACACACTAACTAATGCACTTTGCCACTGGATTTTACTGTGTGAAATGGCGAAATTCACTTGCAAATGGTCGCAGAAGTGGATTGAAACAGCATTATTTAGCCTGTGGGAAAGCACCCCAAGTCTGCTCTGTCACCCCGAGGAAAAATCCTGACCCAAAGCGCCTGGGTGGTTGCTTCACTCCACAGAGCCCCATCGGAGCGTGGACTGGCCCACGAGCGGGAGAGCTTTTCCCTCGGAGGTGAAGCCTTGTGCTCCTGCTGCCCAGGCCCTCACTCCCCCTTCTCTTTGCACCCCCCTCCAGCTGTCGAAAGCGTTCCCGTGGCGACTGCCCTGCAGGCATCGGCTCTCCTGCACGGATCCCTCGGCGCTTTCCACAAAGAGCTACGCGGGTTGGACGTCCGGCGCTGGGCAAGCTTTTTTTCGGCAGGAGTGGAGCTCGAGGACTTCCAGGAGGCCTTGGAGGACCTGAGGACATTGTCCCACTGCTACAGAGAGAGCGGGACGAACGACGAATCGGAGGATGAAACGGACTGATTTTCCTTGCGCGAGGAGGCCTCTGGTGGCATTGTAAATAAATTAATTAATTAAAGCTCGCGGGAGGAGCCCCTCTTGGGTATCTTGGACTCGTTCCAGAACCATGCTGATTGGCGCTGTAAACACAGGAAAGGTGGCCCATCTACCCCAAATGAATGGCTTTTATTCATTAATATTAAATTGCACAATAAATATTCATACAGAAGAGGCACAGGAGAGACTGTACACAGTTCCTACTGTTAAAATATTTACATCACATGTTGTCCAAGTGCAACCCTACCTGTTTCCACTACACGGCAAATCCCACCCCAGCCTTCACGTGCAACAATTCTCTGAAGGCAGCTTCCACGGGATATCTGGGGGGTGGGACAGGGCAGGAGGCAGCCTGTATTCTACCCAAGTTGTAGGGGGAGCCTGCTGCAAAGAGGAGGAGGTGGGCGAGCCGGCAACGTTCCCCAGAACGGAGAAGATCTCCCTCCTCAAGGCACCGCCTGGCGCAGCAACGCTGTCTCTGGCCTCGCAGGCTCATTCCTCCTGCTCTTCTTCAGAGAGAACCGGATCTTTGTCTGAGAGCTGGTCGGTGTTGCTGGTGCTGGTGCCGTCGTCTTCGTCGTCCGAGCTGACGTCGCAGGCCGTGTGGAACAGCGTCATCAGCTCCCTGAAGCGCTGGGCCACCTGAGAGAAGCACAGAGGGCTAGAGGTCAGGAAGGCCTGGAGGGGGAGATTCCATCAATGCCGTGGGGCTCGGTTGAGCAGAACTTCCCTAGCGCTGATCCCCTGGAGAACCAGACTAAGTAGGAATGTTCTGCTGCTGCTGCTTCTGTGCCTTAGAAGTAGATGGGCTAAGTGCAACACCTCCCCCACCCCAGTCCTTCGGCCCTATATCCCGCACGGAACAGTGGGGATTAGGGCCGCCAGGTGACGTTTTCTACACCCCTAAGTAAGCTCCAAGGAAAACCCAGAAGTGGTGTAGGGCAGCTCTAGGAATCACCAAAAACCATGGTTAAAAAAACCCCAAAACCACAGAGTTCCCAGCAATTCCTAGAGCGACCTTATGTCACTTCCTGGTTTTCCATGGAAGCGACGTAGTGGTGCATCCGCTATCATCCCACCCCCTGTCCCTGCCCCCAACCCTCCTACCAGATGGCACAGCATGACAACCGTACTAGAGCCACATGTTCAGTCTGTTCCTACTCATGCACTGCCCCACTGACAAAACAACAAAAAAGACCCTGCCGTCAATAGGAAAAGGGGGGAGGGACCTCTGCGTATCCCATGACTAAAGAAGAAAGATCGTGGCCGTGAATGTGAAAATAAGCCACTCGGCACAATTCTTTTCAGAGTCTCATGACTTCTCAGCCATATTCCACCTGTCTCAGTGATGCTTTCTGTGGAACTGAGTATCGCCTCATCCTTGTTGAAATATCAGCAACTGGTCAGTGCCCACCCGGCCCTTGAGAGTCCAGCAACCACTGTGTTCCTTTAAAGTGGTCGGCCAAACAGCTCCACAGACCAGAACTCCCTTTGCGGGGAAGCAAGTAGCGCAAACACTGTGAGCTCTGACCTCCCCAGCAAAAGGGGGAACCCCGTCCCTCCCTAGAGATTTCATTTCCTGGAGAGACTCACTTCCTCGGCCGTTTTGTTGTGCAGCTGCCGGGAGATGGCCTGAAACGTGTCCTGTTGAGCGCCTCGTTCCTGGCAGGTGGTCAGGATGACCCGGTCAGCCTCCCTGCAAGAGGGAAAAAAACACCCCCGATTCTAGAGAGGGACAAAGTGGATCCTGCTGTCCCGGGCCACGTTTCACAGCAACACCAGCAGCGTTCCCAGAACGAAACTTCGTTGCATTTCGAAAGGCCTCACTGTGGAACAGTTGAGAGGAGCGGCGCTATCCGCTCTCTCGGTCTGCGGGACAGAAGTCAAAATCTCAAGTGACTGCTTGCTTCCCTTCTCCGCCCAAGGATCCCCCCCTGCTCTGTCACACAGACACCCGGAACCTGCCCCTTCCTCAGTCATCTTTTGTGTGCATGCTCCTTTATACCTAAGGCAGGTAAGCAGATTCCACTGGGTGTACCTCCTTCAGGCACTCCGCAAGATGGGGCCACGGCTCAGTGGGCAGAGCCCCTGGCTTGGCATGCAGGAGGTCCCAGGATCAGTCCCTGGCATCTGCTTGGCACGCAAAAGGTCCCAGGTTCCATCTCCAGCTTAAATAAATGGGGAGAGCAGGAGATGGCGAGACCCTGGAATGCCACCGACGCCCTGAACGAGCCATACTGACTGGGAAGGACCAATGAGCTGACTGTGAACGGCAGCTTTGCGTCTTTGTACGATCGAATTGACAAAGGAAATGGAGGGGAAGAGGCACCCGCTGCGTGGGCACAGCTTTCTCGACTCCTTGGCACGTACCTGGTCCACAGGACGACCTTCTCCCCCGTGGAGCTGACCTTGATGTTCTTGGCGCAGACCACGGCCTCCGTCGCTCTCTGCTGCGGCTCCTCTCCCCTCGGCCTGGGCGGGCGGGGCAAAGCCTGCTCCGCTCCTCCCACCGCTGGCGGCTGCTCTTGCAGACGGGCGCTTGGGCCCGACGCCCCCGCGGCCTTTGCCTTTTGATCGGAGGCCGGGGCTCGCAGGTGGCAAGGGCCAGGGGACTCTGCGCAAGCCGGCGAGCCGCTGTTCTTTCCCGCTGCTGCCTTCGGCCCAGGGTCTTTGGGGGGCACCCCCTCGGCTTCCTTTGCTTTCACGCCTGCAGAAGCAGCCAACCTTTCCCCCTCTGTTTCCTGGAGGCGCAGAGTGGCGGGCTCCTCCGAGAGGGCGGGCTGAAGCGCGGGTCTCTGTGGCAAACTCTTGGCTGGAGGAGAACCGGGGACCTTCCCCGCTGTCCCCACGGAAGCCTCTGGCCCCAAGAGGTCTTTGCCAAGCCCACAAGAAGCCTCGGTGCTCCTTGGGCCTCGCCCTGCCTCACCCTCCCCACCCGCAGGGCAGCCGCCGCCTTTGGGTCGCTGCTTAGGAGCACCTGTCCTTTGCGCCTGTATCAAAGAAGATGCAGGAGTCGCGGGGGGTTGTGCGGCAGCATCAGCCGCGGGTGCCTTTTGGGGACAATGAGGTCCCTGCAGAGAGCGTGGCTCTACAGTCCTGCCAGCCAGGGCCACGTCCCCCTCGAGCGAGGCCTCTCTGCACGACGGAACCTTCCCATCCGTACGGGAACCTGTAGAGGAAAGACAGTTTATGGGGCCAGTTGTGTCGATCTGCAGTCAAACCGCTGGATTCGATCAAGATGGGCTGCCGTGTTAGTCTGTCCGTAGCAGCAGAAAAGAGCAAGAGTCCAGTAGCAAATTCGAGGCTAACCAAATTTGTGGCAGGGGAGGAGCTTCCGTGAGTCACTGCTTCGGATACAGCTAGAACGGGAGCCTGTCTGTCCTATTGATTGGGAAGTGGAGTGATTTCAAATGCCGAATGACAATAGCAGGTGAATGACAAGCAGGCGTGATCGGATTTAGGTGAGATATGCAGAGATATAATCCAATCCTGCCTGCCATTGTCATTTGCCTGCTGATGTTATTCAGCATCTGAAATTTATTCCACTTTCCAATTAATAGGACAGATGGACTCCCGTTCTAGCTGTATCTGGAGCAGTGAGCAGTGACCCACGGAAGCTCCTCCCCTGCCACAAACTGTGTTGATCTTGAAGGTGCTACTGGACTCTTGCTCTTTTCTGCTGCTAGATGTGAGTCCAGGAGCCCCTCCGAGGCCCACAAGATTTCTGGGGAATGAAGAAGAAGAGGAGATTGGATTCGTACCGCACCCTTCACTCGGAGTCTCAGAGCGGCTTACAAACTCCTTTCCCTTCCCCTCCCCACAACAGACACCCTGTGAGGTAGGCGGGGCTGAGAGAGCTCTGAGGGGACTGCCCTTTCAAGGACAGCTCTTATCAGAACTATGGCTTGCCCAAGGTCATCCAGCAGCTGCGAGTGGAGGCGTGGGGAATCAAACCCGGTTCTCCCAGATTAGAGTCCGCGCACTTAACCACGACACCAAACTGGCTTTAGTGAGAGCTTTGGAGAGTCAATGTTCCCTTCGTCAGGGACCAGTGGGAATGGAGATGTGACCCCTTAGGTCCCCCTCCCAGGGGCCCCAACTCCCTTCCCACCCGGACTGGCCGATTCAGGAGGAGGGAGGAGGAAGAGGAGGAGGGGAAAGCTTTGGCTGTGATGCTTCTGGGAAAAAGTTTGCAAACGGCAGAACTGCGCGGAAGTCCCACTGAGCCACAACAGGCACTGCAGAGGGGCGGAGGCTTGCCTGTGAAGGGGGATGAGAGAGGTGAGCCCCTCCAGGGTCCCTCCACCCACAGAAAGGGACATAGTGGAGACTCCCATCGTGCCAATCTTTGCACAAGATCCCAGGCTGACCGGAAAACCCCACGGACACACACGTGGCCCAGTTCGCTTTCCACAAGGCACAGGTGTGCCCTACAGCACGCACCTCCCCGGCCCTTCCCCTTGACCCACCTGCAGCAACAGCGAAGTCCGCTCTCCTAGCAGCCGCCCTCACCCTGCCCTGGGGAGCCTCCCTGTCGTCTTTGTGCTCGGGGTTTTCCTCCGCGAGCTCCTTCCCTTCCGGGCGGGGGTTGGGTTCCGGAGGGACGAGGCCGTCCGTGGGCTCCGGGGCCTCTTTGGGCTTGTACACCTTGCCGTCTCCTGCCTGCAGACCAAGAGGAAGCTCTTTAGAAGCGGTCTGGCCAGCCTCCTGCCCCTCCCGGCCTCCATGGCCTGCTTGCTTCTCTTCCAAAGTCCTGCCAAAGGCCTATCAAGGTTGACCTGCGCGTCCGAAGGGACAAACCTTCCTCAGGTGGCCTGCGTTGTCTAGCACGGTTCGTTTTTAAAAAAAGAAGCTCTTTGTCTATTCAGGAAGGAAGGTAGCGTGGTCAAGTCCAACCTCATTGTATCTTACAAGCTAAGTAGGGCCAGTACTTGGATGGGGAACTACCAAGAAGAGACTGCAGAGGAAGGCAATGACAAACAACCTCTGTTTATCATACGTATGTATTTATTAGAAGAAGAGAAGAGGTTGGGTTTATACCCCACCCTTCACTACCCAAAGGAGTCTCAGAGTGGCTTACAATCTCCTTTCCCCACAGTAGACACCCTGTGAGGTAGGCAGGGCTGAGAGAGCTCTTTCGAGAACTGCTCTTGAGAGAACAGCTCTGAGAGAACTTGTGACTGACCCAAGGTCACACCAGCAGCTGCACGTGGAGGAGTGGGGAATCAAACCCTGTTCTCCCAGATTAGAACCTGCGCTCCTAACCACTACACACCAAACTGGCTCTCAATATGTCTTAATCCCCAACACCACAGCAGTAATAACACATTATGAAGAACATGATTAAAGCAATCACCTTATGAAGGAAAGACTAAATATAGGAACAGCCAGCGGTTTTTGAAAATAGGCGTACCTGGATCATTTAGGATCCATGTAACCACATCAGACACAATTTGGTTGTTCGTTGAAATACTTAAAATACTCTCGGTGTGACTACTTAACCAACCAGGATGGAGCTGTAGTTCAAAGGCTTTTTGCGGATTTGCCGCTTATATCTTCCAACGATTTTTTTTTTAAAAGGGTGGCCGTGCATTTGCGAAAGTAGTTGTGTAAAATGGGAGACTGACAGTTATTTTTAAAAAAATCAAACTCACCTTTTGACCAAAACTGATCAAAAGGGGGCTTGCAGCAATGGGGCTTGTTTGCACACACACACACCGCCAAAGTTATCACAGAACCACAATTCCACAATGCAGCATTCTACCTTCACGGAACACTTCCTGTGCCACTTCTCTGCCACAGAGCCCCAGCATAAAGGCAAAGGACTCTGGGACACGTATTTGAGTTCATTCCTGGCTCCCCTACTTAACAGTAGCTGGGGCTGTCTGGACTGAGTGTGGGCCCTGAAAAACCAATTCATCTTGGGCAGCCAAACGTTCCAGGGGAAGGTTGGCTAACATAACACAAAAGGAGAATACGGAAATGAGACAATCCAAAATATAAAAAAATCCTTGTGAATAATGACCCATAAGTGATTAGTTTTAAAAATGATATATTTATATAATAACTAGGAATAAGGCCCATTGTGGAAATAAATACGAACTCTAGAAAGAGACTCTGGGCAGGTGCCACAGTCTTGGGCACTCAGTGTCAATTTGCTGTGGTGACCTCGGCAGGGTATAATGACACTGAGTCCACCATTTTCTCCAGAGGAACTGATCTCTGCTACCTGAAGAACAGTTGTAATTTTGACTGATCTCCAGCCCTCACCTGGAGATTGGCAACAATGGTTCCCTGTGAGGGAATGGCTGGTTTGGAGGGTGGACTCTACGGCATTGTACCTATCTGAGGTCCCACCCCTCCTCAAGCCCCACCTTCTCCAGGCTCCTCCCTTCAAATCTCCAGGAATTTTCCAACCTGGAGTTGGCAACCCTATCTCCTTCCCAGCCAAACGTTAACCTACCTTTATCTGCCCCTCTGGCTTCAGCTTTCCATCTTCTCCCCCCTCCCTTCTAGAGAGCAGTTTAATTCTGAGTGATCTCCAGCCCACACCTAGAGATTGGCAACAATGGTTCCCCAGAAGGGAATGGCTGGTTCGGAGGGTGGAGCCTATGGCTTTGTACCTGTCCGAGGTCCCACGCCTCCCAAAACCTCACCCTCTCCAGGCTCCATCCCTCAAATCTCCAGGAATTTCCCACCTAGAGTTGGCAACCCTATCTCCTTCCCAGACAATCATCAACCTACCTTTATCTGCCCCTCTGACTTCAGCTTTCCATCTCCTCCCCCCTCCCTTCTGGAGAGCAGTTGTAATTCTGAATGATCTCCAGCCCCCACCTGGAGATTGGCAACAATAGTTCCCCAGAAGGGAATGGCTAATTTGGAGATCATTCAGAATGGCTTTGTACCTGTCCGAGGTCCCACACCTCCTGAAACCTCACAGTCTCCAGGCTCCATCCCTCAAATCTCCAGGAATTTCCCACCTAGAGTTGGCAACCCTATCTCCTTCAGAGCCAATCATCCACCTACCTTTATTTCCCCCTCACTCTTCAGCTTTCCACACCCCACACACCTGCAGCCTCTCCCGTGCTCTGAAGCCCAGACTGCTACGTCACATTGGCTGTCATACGGGGGCCATCTCAGCAGGATATAAGGACACAGAGTCCACCATTTTCTCCAGGGGAACTGATCTCTGCCATCTGGAAAGCAGTTGTAATTCTGAGTGATCTCCAGCCCTCACCTGGAGATTGGCAACAATGGTTTCCCTCAACAGGCACTAAGGGGAAATGTATTTTACCTCAGAACAGCAACAGCAAACTGTTTAGAATGTTAGAGGCAAAGGCCAATGAGGCCGCATATGCAAATAACCTCTGTGTTCTGACTGGCTATGGGGGGGGGGAGGAACAGCAAACTGTTTAGAATGTTGGAGGTGAGACTCAAGCAACGCAGCCAGTGGATAGGGACAGATTCTGAGTGACACGCCAGGGCGCTAACCAATTCGGGAGCGTGTGGAATGTTCTGGAGAGTGCCACCACCAAAAGGCTTCGAACTGCCTAAATAATATACAATGGTCTTGCCAAATTATTTATATTTTATGAAAAGCACAATGCCCAGACTGTAGTCTCTAGAGCTGCTGTAAATAATAAATGCGTGTTGGATTCCGAATGGTGCATGCGACTCCTTTAAGTAGTCCTTGCAAAATTTCACAGCTTGCAACATAATATAATCATGCTACACCTGTTGGATTCCAAACAATGACTGTGGCTCCTTTAAGGAGTCCTCGCCAACTTCCAAAACTTACAATGTAATATAATTGAATAAAGCCTCCTGTTGGATTCCAGAAAATGCATGCGGCTCCTTTAAGCAGTCCTGCCTAGTTTACAAATCTAGTCATTTATGGGTTATTAGTTATTCACACGGACATTTTTGTATCTCTTTCCCTGGTAGCTTGCACCCACCAGTCCCGATCAGCTCCTTGGGGTGCTCCAATAACACCCCCGCCGGCCGCCTCATTTCCTGGAATAGCAGGGTGCCCCAACCCAAGTGACACAGGCTGAAAGCCACTGCTTACAGTATTTCAGCTCTAATTCCCTGTGGAGTGTTAAGAACATGTAAGAAGAGCCCTGCTGGCTCAGACCAGTGAGGGTCCATCTAGTCCAGCATCCTGTCTCACACAGTGGCCTCAACCAGTTCCTCTGGAGGGCCAACAACAGGGCAGAGAGGCCGAGGCCTTCCCCTCATAAGAACATCAGAAGAGCCCTGCTGGATCAGACCAGTGAGGGTCCCTCTAGTCCAGTCACGGTGGCCTCAACCAGTCCCTCTGGAGGGCCAACAGGAGGGCAGAGAGGCCGAGGCCTTCCTCCAATGTTGCCTCCTGCCACTGGCATTCAGAGGTTTGGCTGCCTCTGAACATGGAGGTTCCCCTCAGTCACCATGGCTAGTGGCCACTGCTAGACTTATCAATGTGCTTCACTCGCTTGCGTACACCAGCCATCGCCTGTGAGGTGGGGGTGACCCAGCACGACTGGTGAAGCCCCTTGGAATCCTCCACAAAGCTTAACAGCATCAACTCCTTTGTCTGGCGAAAAAGACGGGTGAGCTGCTTCCCCCACTGACCACTCACCGCTCACTCACCTTGTTGCTACAGTGGCTGCAGCCCTTCCGCTTGCTCCTCTTCAACCTCGCATCGCCGTTCCCCTCGTGGCAGGTGCAGGAGCACTCCTTTGCCCCCTCTGCCCACTCCGCCTCCTGAAACGGCACACGGAAGCAGAGGTGAGCGGCATCTACGGAGGGTGGGAGATGCTGCCATCTAGTGGACAGTCTCTCTTCCGCACCTTTTTGAAGCCTGCAAAACTTAAGGGGCTCAAAGCCAGCTTCCACAAGAGTGGGGATTCAACCCTGGGTATCCCTGATCCTAGTCTGACTCTCTGACCCACTAACCCGCACTGGTTCTGTGTGGCAGATCCGCACAAACGCCACAGACCGGTGTACATGAGATACTGGCTCCCTAATACAATGTTGCGGCGAGAAATACCATGCCACGGTTGCAACGCCCTTCTTTCTCTGCAACCCCCATTTCTGGGGGTGCATTAAAACACCCACCCTGGGCACGCATCAAGTCCTAGTAGGGACATAACCAGTGTTCCCTCTAAGCTGAGTTAGTGTGAGCTAGCTCGCAGTTTTTTAGCCTCCGGCTCACGTGCTCAGGAAGAAGGGCTCCAGGGCAAACTAATATGTGCAGTAGCCAAATCGCTTGCTCACAATTTTAATGCCAGTAGGAGCCGCAGTGCCTCAGAGGTTAAGATTCTGAGCAGTTCGAGACCGTAGTGCCACGTGACGGGAGCGAGCTCCCGTCTCTGGCCCCAGCTCCTGCCAACCTAGCAGTTCGAAAGCAAGAAACCGCAAGTAGATAAATAGGTACCGCTTCGGTGGGAAGGTGACAGCGTTCCGTGCGCCTCGGCATTTAGTCAGGCCGGCCACATGACCACGGATAAGTCTTCGGACAGCGCCGGCTCTTCGGCTTGGAAACGGACACGAGCACCGCCCCCTAGAGTCGGATTCGACTGGCTTTTGAGCAAGGGAAACTTTTACCTTTTACTAGCTCACAAAGTAGAGGGAGCACTGGATATAACCCTAACATTCCTTGTGCGGGTGTGTCCCTGGTGTGTGGAAAGAGGGCCACAAAGTCCCCAGCCTATATTTGTAACCTTAAGGCCTAGAAACTTGGTTTTACTAAATGTACATGGACATTTCTTTAAGGCCTTGAGTTGTGAGCCCAGTACCAAGTCTGGGGAGGCGCTAGGCACCTTGTCCGCGTTCTGGCCCCCGAGCTCCTTCCGCTTCTTGTGTTTTGAGGAGGCGTGGATTTTGGGGGGCTCCTCGTCCTCTTCCGCATCGGGCAACAACACTTCTTCAAACCCGTCAAACTAGGAGAAGCGCAGGAGCTGCGTTAGCTGGTCTGCCCTCGGAGAGGATCCCAGCTGCTCAAAGCCACCCACTGGAGGACCAAAAGCTGGAGGCGTTTTCTCCCTCCCCGAGAGACTGACGCAGTCGCTTCAGACTAACCTCCCGCACTCGCTCAGGAAGGGAGGGGGGCGGCGGCAGCAACAAAAGGATTCTACCTCGTACTCTTTCTCCTCCGTCCAGCTGACCTCCTCAAAGTCTCCCATGCGGCTGGCCGACGGGCGCAAGTGATCGAAGAAGATGGAGAACTCATCCTGCAGGTGGTCGTGCCCTTTCAACAGCTGCCACATCTGGGTCTTCAACTAGATGTTGGGGAGGGGGAGAAAAAGAAGGAGAAGGGTCTATTCGTGGCAATGGGCAATGGCGACTGAAGGTAACCTCTACGTTCAGAGGCAGTCAATCCCAGAGCCAGGAGGCAATATCTGAGGAAGGCCTCGGCCTCTATGCCCTGTTGTTGGCCCTCTATAGAGGAACTGGTTGAGGCCACTCTGTGAGACAGGAGGCTGGACTAGATGGACCCTCACTGGTCTGATCCAGCAGGGCTCTTCTGACGTTCTTGTGAGGGGAAGGTCTCTGCCTCTCTGCCCTGTGGTTGGCCCTCCAGAGGAACTGATTGTGGCCACTGTGTGAGACGGGACTGGATGGACCCTCACTGGTCTGATCCACCAGGGCTCATCTGATATTCTTATCAGGGGAAGGCCTCAGCCTCTCTGCCCTGTTGCTGGCCCTCCAGAGGAACCGGCTGGCTGCGATATGAGACAGGATGCTGGACTAGATGGACCAGTGGTCTGATCAATCTCCTTCGGTTCTTACGAATGGTTTATTACTCGATCAGATGAACGTCTTTTTTCGCTCTTCCACAAAGTGGTGTCCTTGTTCAACTCAAACCTACCGGGGTCCAGGATCTGGTGCCTGAAAGGGGCACCCTTCTTCACAGGGACCATCTATGGAGCGGAGCGGGCAAGGGCTACCTCTGCTCGCTCACCGGCCAGCCCCTCGGGGCCCCTCTCACCTCCATGATCTCCTGGGGCAAGCACTCGGCACAGCTCTGCAGCACTTTGATGATCTTTTGGTGGTGGGAGGGGTTTTCGGCAAAGCAGATCTCCAGCTGCCGCAGGAACTTCCGGCTCTTCTCAAAGGCCTGCTGCTCCTCGAACTGCCCAGGAAGAAAGCGGGAGAGGGTCAACCGTGCGTGCACAGCCACGCGAACCACCTGGCGTCGCCTAATTGCTGCTTGGACTGAGGGGCGGGGAGGGGGGGGAAATCACAGAGGTGCCTCCATGGCTAAGTCGTACCTGGGGCTGACGATTCATAGACGTTGGGAGGGACCTTCAGAGTCATCTAGTCCAACCCCCTGCACAATGCAGGAAATTCACAAATACCTCCCCACACACACACACACACACACCAGTGACCCTGTTCCATGCCCGGAAGATGACAAAAAACCTCCAGGATCTCCAGCCAAACTGGCCTGGAGAAAAAGTTGCTTCCTGACCCCCAAAGTGGCAATCAGCATTTCCGTGGGTGTGTCAGAAAGGGCTACGAGGACTAAGCCCTGAGGCCACCCTTCCTGCCCTCCCACTCATGATCTGCCTAAATTCACAGAATCCACATTGCTGCTGTCAGATGGCCATCTGATGGTGGCCGGGGCTTATAAAGTCTTGTTTATTTCAAAAATGCATCCTGCCTCTCCAATTGTGAAGAACTGTGCGACTTCAAGACCGTCAGGGAGCTCTGACCCTCGAGAGCGCCTAGCCCGGAAGTCTTGCTGGTCTCTAAGGCACTGCTGGACCCAAACCGAGCTGACCTGCTGCGCACCGGCAGGACTGCCCACCTGAAACTACCCGCACACAAATCAGATGCTGCACCACGGAGACAGAACGGGCTCGGCTCCGTTTCTTTCTGTCATCTGAAAGCAATTTTGTGTGCAGGGGCATGAACACGTGAAGCTGCCATCGACCGAATCGGAGCCGAGTCCATCAAGGTGAGGTTTGTCTGCTCAAACCGACAGCAGCTCTCCGGGGTCTCAGGCGGATGTCTTCCCCATCACCTACCGCCTGGTCCTTTCAACGGCAGATGCTGGGGGTTGAAACGGGGACCTTCTGCGTGCGAAATATGTCAATGCTCATGAAGCTGCCTTCTACGAAGACAGATCAAGACGGGCAGCCGTGTTAGCCTGTCTGCAGCAGCGGAAAAGAGCCAGAGTCCAGTAGCACCTTAAAGACTAACAACATTTGTGGCAGGGGGAGGGGCTTCCGTGAGTCACGGCTCAATGAGCAGACCCTTGGTCTACCCATGAACACATGAAGCTGCCCGATACTGAATCAGACCACCGGTCCATCAAGTTCAGTCCTGTCTACTCTGACTGGCAGCAGCTCTCCAGGAGTCTCGGGCGGAGGTCTTTCCCATCCCCTACTGCCGGGTCCTTTTTATTGGGGGTGCTGGGGACTGAACCTGGGACCTTCCGCATGACAAGCAGGCGCTCTGAGCCACAGTCCCTCCCCCAGGGGCTTATAAGGAGTACCACTCCTTAGAGAGGGTGGGCACACTAAACCCCCGTGGGGGAGGTGCTAGCCGGCGAACGTAAGGTCCAGCTCGGAAGCCTGCAAAAAAGACCTCTTTGGCATTAAGAAGCCTGTGATGAGTAAATCCGGCCAGGCGGTGGCAGTGCAGCGCAACGACTCAAAAAGCAGTCCTGGAAGAACTGACGTCATCTAGCCACGCCGAAAAAGTCAATGCCGTCCGGAACACGCCTGAAGCTTACAGCTGACAAAATCCCCGTCGGCTGCAAAAGTGTGCGATTTAAAGAATTATATGTTGTCCTCCCTTACCCTATGAAATATTGTTAGTCCCTTGTGAAAACTTGTGTAACTGTAAATCGCTCAGAGCCAGCAGCTCTGCAGGATGAGCGATCAATAAATCGAAAGGTATTATTATTAGTAGTAGTAGTATAACGCCATGGAGTTCTCGGGGTGCAGCAGAGTCCATGGAGCTCTCGGGGTCCAGAAAAATCGTATACCCTACTTTGAATCTCTCTATTCTACTAGAGACCAACATAGCCACCTTCTGAAAGTGTCCGAGAGTAAGCGCGCGCGCGCGCGCACACACATGTTAAAAGCAGAGGGATCCTACACCGCCACGATGACTGCCCTCCATCACAGCCCTGGAGTCGCCAGTCCAGGGCAACAGCTCCCCCAGCTGGCTCCTGGAACCGCCCACAGGTGCTCGTTCACAGGTTCCCTCTCGCCCCCCCCCGGCCCCCGTACCAGCCCGCACTCCAGGGCCTGCTCCGGCAAGAGGAAGGCGGCGAAGTCAGTGAGCAGCTGCGGCCACTCCCGCAGGAGGCTGCGCAGGCGGGCGTAGAGGTCCACGGCCGTCTGCTTGTGGGCGTTGCTCTCGAACTCGTAGATGATGCGCAGGAACTCCTCATACTTGCCCGGGAGGTGACGCAAGGCCTCGCGGACCTGCAAAAAGGGGGTGGGGTGGGGGGCTGTCGTCAGAAAGAGAGCTCCAGATCCGGCCGCTGAAGCAGGCGATGGGATTGGAAAATGGACTGCGGTCAGGACTGGGCGTGCAAGGTTCCCAAGGCGTGATCCTCCGCAGTGTCTGGGCACAGGCAGAGAACACAGCCCGGGCCTCAGAGACCAGGGCTCAGGGGATATACCCCAGGGGCCCCAAACCTTTTGGAAGAAGAAGAAAAACAGTTGGTTTTTATACCCCCGCTCTTCACTACCCAAAGGAGTCTCCGAGTGGCTTACAATCACCTTCCCTTCCTCTCCCCACAAGAGACACCCTGAGGGGTAGGTGGGGCTGAGAGAGTTCTGAGAGAGCTGTGACTGACCCAAGGTCACCCAGCTGGCTGCACGTGGAGGAGTGGGGGAATCAAACCCGGTTCTCCAGATCAGAGTCTGCCGCTCTTAACCACGACACCAACCTGGCTCTGCGGGGACATCTGGAATCCTGACGTGGGGCAGTGAGCAGAGCAACAAAAGGGCTGCCACAAAAGAGCTGCATTTCTTTGGCCTTGTTTTTGGGGGAAAGGCTTATTACCAGCATGTCCAGGGAGAAAGGATGCTATGCACTTCCTTGGAGTGCAAGCTGAGAGGATCAGCACCGCAGCAAGGTGGATTCCTCCGTGGCTCCAGCCCCTGACCTGGTCCTGGCTAGGCTACACCTCCTACTGCTCAGCTTGCATCTCTCCCACCCCGTCCCGCTTTCTTAGTCCGCTGCCCACCGTCCAGGGCCTCCATGCCGGTGAGGTGGAACTCTGGTTCCCCCTCTCCTTCCTGTCACGTGACTTGTGAATGTCATGCTTTTCACTACAGCCAGTTTGGTGTAGTGGTTAAGTGCGCGGCCTCTAATCTGGGAGAACCGGGTTTGATTCCCCACTCCTCCATTTGCACCTGCCGATGTGTCCTTGGGTCAGTCACAAGCTCTGGCACCGCTGTCCTTGAAAAAGAGCAGTTTGTGTCAGAGCTCTCTCAGCCGCACCCACCTCACAGGGTGTCTGTTGTGGGGAGGGGAAGGGGAAGGAGTTTGTAAGCCGCTCTGAGACTCCAAGTGAAGGGCGGGGTATAAATCCAATCTCTTCTTCTTCTTCTTCCTGCCTAGTGGGTCCCCCGTGCTTCCGTCACCCAGAGGTAGATTCTGCGCCTGCAAAGGTTGAGGGCCACTGCCCTAGGCGATTATGGTTGCCAACTCTGGGTTGGGAAATTCCTGGAGGTGGGGGGGGACACCTGGGGAGGGCAAGGTTTGGAGACGGGAGGGACCTCGGGGGGGTTATAAATGCCAGCGAGGGCACCCTCCAAAGCATTCCCTCCGAGGAAACCGGTCTCTGCAAGTCTGGACACCGGCTGTAATTCTGGGCAATCTCCAGGCCCCACCTGGAGGTTGGCGATAAGCCTCAACAGCTCAATCTGCCCGGGCATCAGAAAGATTTGGGTCTACCCTTCTGGCTCCGGAGTATGCAGGGACGCCGTTCCATTCCAGGCGAACGGAGCCCGCGCAGTCCGACTTGGGCGACTCCTTACCCTGCTCAGGTACGCCTGGGCAAAGGCCAAGTCCTTCTGCTCCCGCAGCGGGTCCCTCTCCAGAATGTCTTCGTCGTACAGCAGCAGCAGCTTGGAGGTGTCCTTGCTGGCCCGAGCCCGGCCCCTCTTGGCCCGGGCCCTGTGGGAGCCCCGGCTTTTCCCGGGGGCTTTGGCACACTCCCCTGCAACGGCACAACCCCAGATATCGTCAGAGGCGGGCATGGCGGCCGTCAAAAAAGACCCAACCTTGCCCTTGGGCACAGCTCTCTGCAGAAGAACCTCCTCTGGGAAACAGGCAGTGGGGTGTGCCTATGGGCATTTTCTTCTTTCACTGAAAATATCTGTTTGCCATCTTTGCACCCGGCTTCAGGTCTCCATGGTAGCTAAAAGAGATGTAAAATTTCCGGAAATTTTGAAGCTCGGAAAAAACCCCAGGTTTTTTCCGGGTTTTTTCGGGGGGAAACGGAAATTTTCGGAAAAATTGGAAAAAATGCTACATTAGCATTTCTTTTGTCTTTTCTAGATTGAAAGTCATTCTGTTACTTTAGGAACATAAAATATGACTATGGACATTTTTACTTGGCATGAAATTCTCACAACTAGCATATTAAAAATATAGTGTATCCAAACAATTATTACAAACAGGTTACAAACACCCACATGCAAAAACAAAACTGAAACTTTTTTATTTTCTTCTGACAATTGCACCTCCTAAAGGAAGAAATGCATCTTGTTCTTGCATTGGAGAGTTCAGTTTGTAACCTAGGACTTGCTTATCCTTAGTGCACAGAAATTAGATCAATCTGATACCATATATATATGGTAGAATATATATATATATATATATATATAAGAAAATATTTGGAAAATATTTGAGCACTTTGTTTTAAAATATTTTATTCATCATGTTAAAATAAAATGTTCCATAATCAATTTTTTTCTTTTCTTTTTTCAATTTTTTTCAATTTTTCAGAAAAAAACAAAAAGGCTTCAGGAAAAAAAGGGGAAAAAAACGTTTTTTTCCTAATTTTTTCCGGGTTTTTTCCGGGCTTTCACATCTCTAGTAGCTAACAATCCAAACGTGACAGCGTTGTGCAGCAGAAGGTTAGGGTGCTTCGGTTAGGGCTCTCTAGCTTGGAGAAAGGACGGCTGAGGGGGTGACATGATAGCGGTTTACAAAATTAGCCGTGGGATAGAGACGTTAGAGAAAGGAGTGCTTTTCTCCCTTTCTCACAATACAAGAACTCACGGACATGCCATGAAATCGCTGAGCGGTCGGGTTAGAACAGGTAAGAGGAAATCCTTCTTCACCCAAAGAGTAATCAACATGTGGAATTCACTGCCACAGGGTGTGTTTTTCAGGACAGGAAACCATGCCTTATTTATTTTTAAACTCTCTTCTTTCCTGTCAAAGTGATCAAAGGAATCACTGATCAGATGGGGGAACGTATGAAAAAACACAACCTACAAACAGTATTCAGACCCACCAGAACAATACAAAAGATGCTCCAAACAGCGAAAAACAGAAGAGACCCCCTCACTTCTGCAGGAGTATACCGCATACCATGCAGTTGTGGACAAGTTTACATCAAGACCACACATTATAGCATTCAGACAAGAATAAAAGAACATGAAAGACACTGCAGACTTGGCCAACCTGTAAAATTAGGAGTGGCTGAACATAGCCTAACTCAAACAGGACACACTATTTTGATCAAAGACACTTAAAGGCTGGACAACACTTACAATTACCGTGTCAGATTACACAGAGAAGCCATTGAAATTCATAAACATAAACACAATTTCAACAGGAAAGAAGAGAGTTTAAAAATAAATAGGGCATGGTTTCCTGTCCTGAAAAACACAAAAGGCTCTATATCTGACAATAGCACTACAGATAAGATTAGAATTTCAACAGACAATCCACATGCAAAAGAACCTCCTCAGGAAACAGGAAACCTCCTCAGGAAACAATCCATAGACAAAAGAACCTCCTCAGGAAAGCTCCTCCATTAGCATGTTCATAGCCTGAGGGACTCATACAAGATAATGACTCAGCCCTGCCCCAGCTTCCTGAGTAGATATAAATTACCTGCCTGCCTACCATTTTTCTTCTCACCTTGACACAGAGAGCACTCCATCTTTCTGTGTTATACCTCTGAGGATGCCAGTCACAGCTACCGGCGAAACGTCAGGTCCTACAATGCCAAGACCACGGGCCACACAACCCGGAAAGTCTACAGCAACTAGTGAACTCCGGCCGTGAAAGCCTTCGACAACATACCTCTGAATGTCTCTTACCCTGACCTGGACGGCCCAGGCTAGCCTGATCTGGGAAGCTAAGCAGGGTCAGCCCTGGTTCATACTTGGATGGGAGACCACCAAGGAAGTCCAGGGTTGGTAGGAAGAGGCAGGCCATGGCAAACCACCTCTGAATGCTTCTTGCCTTGGAAACCCTACAGGGTCCTTGGACTGGAGACCGCCAAGGAAGCCCAGGGTTGCTATGCAGAGGCAGGCAACTGCAAACCA